CAGCCCCCCTGCGGAGGCCTGGGGCTGTATAGGGCACCAAAATAGCTAGGGATGGCCCTGAAAACAGCAGTCGATTTTAAGAGCCTTTTAGGTCGACAGAATGGGATTGGTTGTGTAGACACATTGCTTATAAAATCGACCTGACGTGGCTAAATTCGACCTAACCACGTAGTGTAGATCAGGGCTAACAAACATACAAAGTTTTGCACACAGTAGCCATGTGCCTCATACTTAGCCAATCAGTAACAGAAATCACAACACATCACCTCCCTAACCATTGTCAGATGGCCGTTTTCTGTATGCATCATGCAAGAAGTAAGTTTTGAAGAGGGACTTGAAGGAAGATAAGGTGGTGGCTTTACAGATTTTGATGGGAGTTTTTTTCCCCCCATACATAAGGGGTAGCATAGGAGAAAGCACAAAGCTGCCCATGGGAAAAGTAGACAAGTATACAGTCAAGTTGGTGGAGGACTAGCCTATGGAGGAATTTGAAATTTGGGGAAAGAAGTTGGTATTTGATACAGTGGAAGAGGTAGAGCCAAAGGAGGGACTTAAAAACGTGGGTGATATAGTCAGAGCCATGAACGCAAAAGATGATCTTAGCAGCTACATTTTGAGTGGACTGAGGTGGGAGGTTGGAGATGTTAAGGCCAGAGAGGAGGCAAATGCAGTAAATTAATGTTTATGGTTTTCTTTCAACCCACGAAGATGCAATTGCCTGTATGAATGAGATTTAACAAAAAAGAAGAGAGTGTTCCCCTTCTTTCAGATAAGGTTACAATATTGCTCTATCATTCCATCTTGCTAGGATAACATGAAAGCATGTTCTTCTCCCCTCTTCCCCCCAAAAGAGAGTGAAGACTGACTTCTCCCCGTCATTGTTTCTGGGAGAGAAGTCCATTGCCGAATAAGCAAAAGAAGGCACTGCAAAGAAACCTGCAATGTGGAGAACAAAAACAAGGATATGAGCCTCCCCAAATCCCTGGAGGACTTGAATCTGGAGGTAGGAATATGCGAATGGCTCTCTTGCAGCTGCAGCCCCTAGATGTTTAAAAGCCAGTTTTAGAACCCATACTCACAAGGAAAACTTCAACTGGAAAAATCTGGAAAGATAACTAGAGAAAAAATTACACAGAGAGAAGGATGCTTTGGATTGGCAAAGGCCACTCTGTGAGAAGACCCATTAACAAGGAGACAAAATTAGCCTACACATTTTCAAGAGCTGCTTACATTTATTGCAATTTTACAAATATGAAAAAACGCAAAAAGAAAAAAAGTGTCTTCATTGTCAATCTACTCAATTTCTGAACTACATTTTGAAACGAAAACAGAGACCAATTTACTGACTTGGTTCTAATCAATAAAGTGAGTTAAAATTAACTGGAAGAAGTGCAGTGATTTCAGGGACAAGAACATCCATTTGTTCTGAATACGAATATTTGATAGCATTCAAATATTAGCATATATCAGCACACTAAAGCCATAAGTGCAACATATAGTTCCACAGTAAACCTCTGCCTAGACTGTTTCAATTTAAGATTCAAATCGAATGAGAAGCTATTTTTTCTTATAGTTCTTTTTTGTGTTTGAGTGACCTCTGGTGGATGTTTGTACAACAAAAACAAATTGTTCTTTGCCTGTCGCCTTGAATACTGAACTTTGCAAACTTATCAAAAGGTACTGAACTCCTCAAACAAGAAACAGAGGGACTTTGTGCATATAGAAATTTAGAAGGGATGATTTTTTTTCCCCTCTCAATGTGTACATGAGTGTAACGTTTGGGAAATGTGCCAGACTGACAACCTGCAGACTGACGTCCTATATTCACTGAACACACACACACACACACACACACACACACACACACACACGTAGTTAAAGATTGACAATACTATCCCACCCAGGGGAATCAACCTTATCCTGAAGGGACTATTTCTAAGGGTAAGGAGATAGATTAAGTCTCTATGCTCATTCAGGGCTTGATCCTGCTCCTATTCAAGCCAATGAAAAAGCCCACGTTGACTTTAACCACGTGGATTCAAGCCCTTAAGACCCTGGCCTCTCAGCAAAGAGTGTCAAAACAAGTACTAACCAGGGCCACCAATGTTAGGTTTTGTGATGTGGATAATCATTCTCTGGGAACTGGACTGAGACCAGTCACTTCACATTAGGTATAGTTTAGATCCCCCAACATGTTCTGGCTGGCTTCAGCCTGTTGTGACACCCCAGCATGCAACTTGCTTCATCAAGACAGCTATCTCAGAGTCCTAACTGAAGCATTAACTGGCTCATACAGAGACAAGGGGCATTATTTTTTAATACAATTCAGAGTGCAATTTTGAAAGGATTATTTTTAATATCTCAAGGGCATAGAATTATCATCAAACATCTCAAAACTGTGCCTTACGCTTCAGAAAACATCACTCAACCCCAGCATACATTTGTGGTTACATCTCAACCACAGAGCCCTGCCAGTATATGCACTCAGTTCACATGGTATCAGTGCAGGAGCTAGCCAATGTCAGTTTGAGGAAAATAAACCAAAAATTCCCAGTATTAAAAAATATATTTTAAAAGTTACTGGTATTTATGTTCTTTGAAGTCAGACTGTCCAGCTTTGACACTGCTGTGATGACTCAATAGGCACCACAGCAGGCACCACTTAGAGCTCTGCAGGTCTAAAGATCTCTGACAGCTCCCTCCTACTCTTCCTCTACTGAGCCAACCTTACTTTGGAAAGTCAACCAGGTCTTCGTACAGTTTAAAATGATTTTAAAATGTATATATTTACAGATTACTTTGAAGACATCAAAATGTTTGCACTGGATTCTGCTAGGATGGGTCAACTCTCTGGTCTCACAATATGTTTATTAAAGCTGAACAATACTTTTAATCTGTAGGTGATTGAAAATAAAATTCTTCTTTGGGAAAAACGTATTTAGAATAAACTATCATTAGGGCTAGAGTAGCAAACATCTTATGAACAATCTTGTACATACAAGCTGGAGATGAACGTTCACATAGGATACATTTTCCCAGCTAGTCTACCAGAAATATTAAAAATTATCTGATCCAGATACCAGATGGCTCTGGAAATGACAATGACAATAGCTCTTCAGTTTGAATGTGCCCCAGATAAGTGTTTGGACCCAGGACAAACTACTGAACTGTTGCTGTTTGGAATTCATCCATACTCTCAAATCTATGGGCTTTTTGAATTTATACGGAAGATCACCAGAATGGGACATAGTCTGGACAAAAATGAGTATTAGCTCAGTGCAACAACTGTTCAATTTCTTCCTTTAAAATCACTTAATGGAAGTATGGTTCATGAGTGTTTGTTATTCCACACTTTAGATGGGATAACATATCTGCTATACTAATTTGATGGGAAATGGCTGGCCATATGTGTTTTCAATAATAAATCTACTGGATGTAAAGATTTCCTAGGCAAATACCTGAAACCAAAAACTGTATGTGTATCTTGGAACTATCCTTTAATGTCTCTGGTTTCATTAAAATAATATCAGAAAACATTGCCATATCTGAGAGAAAAGTTAAAAGTGACACTGACATTGCAACCTGGAATTCAGGTAGGATGCAGTTGGTAACAGTGCAAGCTTTTGAAGTAATCTAGAGTCTTTCCCCTATTTCTGACGTGTGATTTTACAAAAATATTGCCAGGAATTGTGGAATAAGATTCCAAATTACCCAATAGAATTCTCATCTTACTCAGAAAACAAACATACATCACAAAATGCTATATCAAGATAATTATTATAATTATAGATAATGAAATGAAATGATTAGACACAATGTTCTCTATGGTGCATCCAGAAGAAGGCACCTGGAATAAAAAAAATAAACTAGATATGTACACCTCTACCTCGATATAAAGCTGTCCTCGGGAGCCAAAAAAATCTTACCGCGTTATAGGTGAAACAGCGTTATATTGAACTTGCTTTGATCCACCGGAGTGCGCAGCCCCGCCCCCCCGGAGCACTGCTTTACCGCGTTATATCTGAATTAGTGTTATATCGGGTTGCATTATATCGAGGTAGTGGTGTAGTTAGCTATTGATTAACCAATGACTGTGTGTGCCTAAAGTGCTAAAACTCTCTCCTGAAGCCAGATCTGTATAATGAGGATGTGTATTTGTGTTAAGAGAAATTTTAGCAGCTGTGCTGTTCATGTGCTGATGTCCACTGAATAATAGGAGCTATGCATGAAAATCTCTTCAGTTGTTGAATTTCACTGTTTTTGTAGAAATCACATCAACCTTAAACACTTTAGATAAACATGAATGATTGGCTCCCACCAAGTTCAGGAGTTTTATGTACATGTGCCATATGCAAATAGTAAAATAAGAATGAAATGTATGTGTTTAACCAGTCTTCTGATTAAGTCATGTCAGCTATCCATCAATATGTAAAAATTTATAAAGGATTCAAAAATGTAAATGGTATGGAATAAAAACATTTGTTTGTTCTCCATACTAAATGATTTTCCCTTGCACTATTATGTTCTGAAACGGGTGGTGGTGGAGGAATGTCAAACTGAGTTCCATCCCTACATCCTTTTTCCAGAATTTAGTTATCAAATTTATTTTGTTTTCTTTAAAACAATAGTAATAATAATTACCTTTGAGAATAACTTACTATTCAGAAATCCATCATATATTTTTATATTATTCCAAAATTCAGTAAAGAAGTGTTGTGATAGACTAGTAACAAATCATTGCAAAACTGAGCTTATGAAAAAGGCTGTAAATACTGCAGTTCTGCCAAAATATATTTGGAACAACCACAAGTATAGCATAAATATATTACAACATGGATGTATACATTTAGCTAATAGGATGCACTATGTGTCCATTTTCACATTTGGTGGGGAAATAAAGCAGAGTTCAATAAAAGCTGTGAAAATTTCTGAGTTTGCGAATAAAAATATCAATAGTCTTCTGAATGTTTGGCAACTTAAATAATCAAAAGGTAAGTTACCTCAGTAACAGGTACATTTTCTTTAAGTTCAGTTGTATGCAATGCCAGTAAAGCAATCACTCTGGCTACTTTGGCACGTCTGTGAATTAAATACATTTGTTAGCTTAATGAAAAAAAAAAAAAAAAACAAGTTCAAGATCCTACTTTATTTATAATGGTGTATTGTACACAGAGTATACAGTGCTAAGTGTATGCCGTTTTGAAGCACAATTTTACATTAGAAAAGCCCAGAATTTTTTCTTAGACACTTTATCCATTGCTCTTTAAACCAGCATTTTATTTCAGTAGCTCAATTGATTATGACTTAAGCAACTACCTGTGCAAAATGTCATGAATCTCCCCTTCGTACAATAAAGTGTATGTTAGTATGAATATTATCTAAATTATTCATTAATCACACTCATCTACATTTGTTTAAAATACAGAAAAGCCATCATAGGTCATTTTAAATCTTTGACTCCAGTTGTCAAAATAGATTCCATTGCCAGAAATGAAGAGCATGTCAGAAAATTAACTTTAGATAAGAGTTAAAACTACCTTTTTAATTTTAAAAATAAGGAATAAAAAAAAAAAAAAATCAAGCTTTCTATAAAATAACCAGCAGAGGGCATTATTCCATTATAATTATTGACAAGTTTGCTTCAAAGAAAGTCTCTGTCATTATGGATATTACACTTAGTTATGGCAGGGGTCAGTTTTTTGGGGGATTTTTAATACACTACATCATAAACTACATTATAGAATTTGTAGATGTAATTTCAGATCCTTTATTTATTCTACTCAGTTTTGCATATTATTGTTGACAAAAAAAATTATTTTCCTGAATAAATCTAACAGCACATCCAATTTGTAAAAGAAATTGAGAAAGATATTAAGTTATTCTTCCTTTATCTAAATATCATTCATTAAATATAATGAGGCAACTCTTAGAATACATTATTTTAAAAATAAGTAAAAAATCAAGCTAAAATTGGTAGTGGCTAAAATGTAATGGATCTTATTAGGCTTGAGGTACTGAAGAAATTCAAATCACTACACATCACTATATTGTGTAATGTCTGTGGTCATTCCTCTTTCAAGGAAAACCATAGCAGATGCTTAAGTATGCCCTGTAAAATATTCAGCAACAATCAGCATTTGAATAAATTCATTTGTAATAAGTTGTTTGTTACTTACACATCCCAATTTGGAGCTGCCCGCAACTGTTGTATTAACAATGGGAACTAGAATAAGGAATAGATAAATACACTTTTATTTCTCAAAAAATCCCTGTTAATGTATAAGAATAAAGATATAAGTCTTATGAAAATACATATTTAGATTTTTTTAAATGTCTATTTTGTACTCTGACTACAAAAGACCTTGGGTGCTGTTCAAACCCATTGATTCAAAAGGATGTACTGACAGTTTGAAAAAAAAAAAAAAAAAAAACTTCAAATTTTATGTTCCTATCGTTTAAAAAAATTTTTTTTTGAAGCTTTGCTTAAAAATATATTCCCAGATAAAAATAAATATATACTAGAAAAATTGTGATTGCCCACACACACACAGGTAAACAGACTAGTGATAAAAATTTGAAATGGCTATTCATCTGAACTAAACCAACCAACCAACCAGCCTACAAATTCTCTGTTACTCTGCAATACAATTGTTTTGGCTAATATCAAGTCTAGTATCAACTGAGTATTCAACACACCATCTGGAAGGACTGTTTCCAGCCCTCTCACAGGCTCTATGATCTAATATGTCTCTGTCTCCAACAGTTATGATCTTATTTTGTCTAATGCATGTGTGGGGAAAACTCTGCCCTTATTACTCCACTATAATTGCAATTACTTTATTGAGGGCAGAATTTGACTTCAGTGGAGTTAGTGGCATACATGTAAATAAGGGGAAATTAGGCCATGATTGAAATTGGCCTTCAGTCAAAGAAAATAAACTGAAGAAAAAACAAATCTCAAAATTCAAAGCTATAAATTTATTTTAAAAGGCAGCTTGTTATATTATAATAATTCTGAGAGTGTGTAGATCACTTCCATAGTTAAAATACAAAGAAGGGAAGTGCGTTTGCTATTTTTGCATACCCAAGACTGAAAAATGAATTAAGCCACCACCCAGAGACCAGCAAAACTAATTGCCACATACAATTTGTTCCCTTAATGATTGTACATATTTTAGAAAACATGTTTACCATCTATAAAGGTATGGTTAAGGAGGATTGTCTATAACATTTTCATATGCATATTTTTTCCCCAAAAGCAGTTTTCTGTGTTACAGCTTTTATAAATAACAATTTATAGCATCTTATAACATTTCGAAGTGCTATTAATGCTGGAGACAGTTTAAATAATTATTTAATTAACTCTATTAACTTAGTGAATCATAAGAAAAAAATTCATCTGGAGTCTAAAAGACAGACAATGCTCCATAACTTCTTTTCAAGAAACCTAATTGGTACATTTCATTGCTTTGTCCTTAATTGGCTGTCCTGCATGTGTCTTTATACCAACAGTTCCTTAAAATAGAAGTAAAGGGCACCATTGCTAAAGGCAGCTGACTTTTGCTGCAATGGCTGGTATGTGAACCATGTTGACTCTCCGGGAACCTTACTACTTACCAGCTGTGAGCTGATTAACCTGGTTGCTACTTCCTTGTGGCCAGCCACAGTGCAGAGATAGCATAGCAAATTCAATTTAGCTCGTGTTGCCCCTGTGTTCTTCTCAGTGGAGTCAATCAATGAGCACATTTGTTGCAAAAAGTCATTCCAGTCCATTTCTTTCAGAGATGATAGCTTCTCAACTGTACACAAAAAATGTCAGCAGCTGTTTAAAGATTATGAATTGCCATCTTTGATTTTACTTTTAAATACTAAAATATAGTTATGTCCACATGAACCAATGTAATTTTAAAACTTTTGGATCCAATCACAACTTTGATATTTACAACAATATTAAGGCAAAGAATTTAATTATTTTATAGAATACAATAATGAGAATTATCAAAAAGACCAAGAGAAAAAAGGGGGTACAACACATAACAGATGACGGTAAGTATACAAAACTATTTTCAAAGAGCAAAATCCATTAGGTTCTTATTCACAGTTTTGATTTGGTTCTTGCTTAGGTGAACCCACACTGCCTTCCCATGGATTAAAGGAAGTGATATTGTCCTCATTCATTCTTTAGTTTTTAATCAGATGTTGTCAATGGGAGTTTGCCAGAGCAACAATAAAGCAAAAATTAAGTAAAAGCCTGAGGAATTTGCTCAGAATCACAATTTATTTGAAGCATGTGTGCAGGTCTGCATCTGCTTAAATAGTTGTAGCATCAGGGCCTAAGTGACTTAAACAAGAGAGTCAGATCGCAGCTGGGATTAGAATTAATTTCATGACTCCCAATCCATTACTCACAACATATCTACAAGGAAAGCCATGAAAATTCAATCAATCCGTAGAGCTAAACAATCCTGTCCATTCCTTCCTGCACCTCTAAAACAAAAAAAAAATTTTTTTTTAAATGGTATCCAGACATTTTCATAGTGAATGTGTTGATTGTTCTTGGCAACATTTAAGGGGACTAATTATCTTCGGTTTTACACAAATTTTACTGTGGGACAACTCCACTGACTTCAAAGAAGGCACTCCTGATTTACACCAGCGTAAGCAGCGAGAGAATCAGACTTCGGGTATTTATTTTAACCTCAATTCTCATCTTTGAAAAGGAAAAGTTTAGCCCTCAGTGTTGGTATTCAGCACCAGGCTACGCGTCTTTTTTACAAGATATTCTAACACTAGCCAAACAGTTGTTTGCCAGGAAAAATTAAAAAGCTGCAAACTATATAGCCACAAACACAATCTTCCAGTTGTTAAATAAATTATATCCCTTGTATAGTAAATGACACTGGAATCCATTTGGAACGTGGATCAAGCTTTTCAGCTCCATAGTCACCAGTTTCAAAGTTGGATGCCTAAAGGCAGGTACCTCAATCTACATTCAGACACCTAAATAAGCAGTCTGGAATCCAAGAGCTGTTAAGAACCTTTTGTTCCCTTTGAAGGCAATGAAATTTGTGTGTGCTAAGCACCTCTGAATAGCAGATCACTTATTTACATTCATACTGTATTTTGGCAAGTAAATGTCTACCTTTAAATCACCCAAGTGTGAAAATTTTAGACTATGACTTTATCTTACAGAAAGTATTTGTTGCTGTTTGGGGCCAAGGGATACTATATTTTATAACAATAACATTCCAACAAAATCACTGCTCAATATACACATCATACCAAATGGAACAGAATCTTACATTATTCCTCACTCCCTACTCCCACCATACACAGCTGAGAAGCAAAAAAAGGAACATATTTTTAGCTGAAATTAATCTTCCAACATAATATATTTTAACAATACCTCTGTAAATAGACCAAAAGGAAATATTCCAAAGGAACTAGTATTACACTCCTGATAACAATCAGCCTTTTGTTTTTATAAATAACTTCACTTGATGCCAAAAAAAAAATAATAATGACTTTATGCTGGGCATTAGGAGCATTTCATAATTATAGGCAGGACTTGTAGCACCATCTTTTGTTATGGTTCAGCAACTCTTCCCATTATAAGACCCTTATTAGTTGCAAAACTTTAACCATTTGGGCTGAAATCTTCCATGTCAGGTATCTACCCCAAGCTGAAATTTTTCTGGAAAATTTCTGCCAAAACAATTCAACCCTTTCCAAGAATGTTTTGCCCAAGTTAAGAAATTCTGGCAACCTTTTAAAAAGTGTAGTGTCTCCATCCTTTGGAGCAGGGACTTGAAATGTGTCAGGGATGTGACTTTTGCTGTCCATGAAAATCCACCCAAATTTCATCACATTATAAGCCTTTGAAAAAAATCTCAGTTTTCACATGCTCCGTAAACGCTTCTTCAATTTTAGCAGCTAAAAATCTGCAAAGTTTCTAACCTCACTGCGCATGCTCTAGCCTCTCATAGCTTCTATTGCTCACCAGAATGCACATTCACCATCTCGGAAGAGCAACTGAGCATTTGCCAGTCCAATACTACAGGGATGAAGCTGGACTTTCCCTGTAACTGCTACTCTGGGGCAGGGTGGGGACAAGCAGGGAGCGTCTCTCTCCTGTGCTCTCAGTGACCCTTCTTGCTGGCACCTCGGCAGCATGGAGGAGCAAGCTGCCTAATCTGATTTGAGTAAGGACAAGAGCTAGACTGAGGATGAGGGAAAAGATAGATTGAGACATGGAGTCTAGTGATACTGGAACTAAAGGGTGGGGAGAGAAACTGTTACTGGCAGCTGTAGGGGAAGAGGCTGGGACTAGTTGGTCAATGAAACAGACTGGGACCGGGAGGACAAAGGCTCAGAACAGTTGGGCAAGAAGACAGATGAGGGAAAATGGGGAGAGGAACTGGGAGTCATTTGTGTGCGAGTGAGAGCGCTGATCAAATGACGAGCCTGGAGATGGGGAGGACCCGGGACTGGCTGAAAAACGGGATTGGAAGAAAGAAACAGAGCAGGGGGAAAACTCAGAGAGAGCCTAGAGAGGGAGACTGGGACCCAGTGGGAGGCAGGAGGGAAGGGAAGATCAGGTCAAATGAAGAGTCAAGAGGGGAGAAACTGGGATTGAAAAGAACAGTATGTGATTGTGTAATTATAGACTATTATAATGCATATGCACAAGTGGGCTGAATTAAGGTTGCACAGGTAACCTTAATTCTGTCATTTCATAAGTTTCAAGTGCTTGACTTTGGAACCCTAATAGTGTTTTTAACATTTTTAACTTGGTTTTCGTATGTAATTCATACTTAATTTCCCCCAACATCTGACTGTGTTTTGCAAATAAATTTGATGCAACTAGAGCAAAAAACCCTTGTAAAATGAATTCCTGTAATTAAAAAAAGTCATTGAATCATGCAGTTCACTGTGAAGGGATGAACTTCTTTCCCTAGATTTAACAGCATAAAAGACACGGAGCTGAGTCACATGTGATCAGGCTCTCATGCACTCCAGCTGTCTGCTGGAAAATGTTGGGACTTTGATCAACACAGTTGAACACACTGACTCCCAAAACCTGGGAGAGTCCAGCCAAGATTTTCAAAAGGACAGGCTTCAAAGTCCTTATGGAGCCTTCTAAATAAAGTGATCTGATTTTCAAAAGTCTAAGCAACGCCAAACGGAGAGAGTTATTCCACTGATGAAAAGCATACATATTGTATTCATTTATTTCCTAAAGGTTTTAAATAAAAAAATAAATAAATGTCAGAGGCAACTAAAGTTTTCCATAGCTTTAGTGTAATAACTGGATTTGAGTGCTTATTTTTTTTTGTATCAGAGGGGTAGCCATGTTAGTCTGAATCTGTAAAAAGCAACAGAGGGTCCTGTGGCACCTTTAAGACTAACAGAAGTATTGGGAGCATAAGCTTTCGTGGGTAAGAACCTCACTTCTTCAGATGCAAGTAATGGAAATCTCCAGAGGCAGGTATAAATCAGTATGGAGATAACGAGGTTAGTTCAATCAGGGAGGGTGAGGTGCTCTGCTAGCAGTTGAGGTGTGAACACCAAGGGAGGAGAAACTGCTTTTGTAGTTGGCTAGCCATTCACAGTCTTTGTTTAATCCTGATCTGATGGTGTCAAATTTGCAAATGAACTGGAGCTCAGCAGTTTCTCTTTGGAGTCTGGTCCTGAAGTTTTTTTGCTGTAAGATGGCTACCTTTACATCTGCTATTGTGTGGCCAGGGAGGTTGAAGTGTTCTCCTACAGGTTTTTGTATATTGCCATTCCTGATATCTGACTTGTGTCCATTTATCCTCTTGCGTAGTGACTGTCCAGTTTGGCCAATGTACATAGCAGAGGGGCATTGCTGGCACATGATGGCATATATAACATTGGTGGACGTGCAGGTGAATGAGCCGGTGATGTTGTAGCTGATCTGGTTAGGTCCTGTGATGGTGTTGCTGGTGTAGATATGTGGGCAGAGTTGGCATCGAGGTTTGTTGCATGGGTTGGTTCCTGAGTTAGAGTTGTTATGGTGCGGTGCGTGGTTGCTGGTGAGAATATGCTTAAGGTTGGCGGGTTGTCTGTGGGCGAGGACTGGCCTGCCTCCCAAGGCCTGTGAAAGTGAGGGATCATTGTCCAGGATGGGTTGTAGATCACTGATGATGCGTTGGAGAGGTTTAAGCTGAGGACTGTAGGTGATGGCCAGTGGAGTTCTGTTGGTTTCTTTTTTGGGCCTGTCTTGTAGCAGGAGGCTTCTGGGTACACGTCTGGCTTTGTTGATTTGTTTCTTTATTTCCTTGTGTGGGTATTGTAGTTTTGAGAATGCTTGGTGAAGATCTTGTAGGTGTTGGTCTCTGTCTGAGGGGTTGGAGCAGATGCGGTTGTACCTCAGCGCTTGGCTGTAGACAATGGATCGTGTGGTGTGTCCGGGGTGGAAGCTGGAGGCATGAAGGTAGGCATAGAGGTCGGTGGGTTTTCGGTATAGGGTGGTGTTAACGTGGCCATCGCTTATTTATACTGTGGTGTCTAGGAAGTGGACCTCCCGTGTAGATTGGTCCAGGCTGAGGTTGATGGTGGGGTGGAAGCTGTTGAAATCATGGTGGAATTCTTCCAGGATCTCCTTTCCATGGGTCCAGATGATGAAGATGTCATCAATGTAGCGTAGGTAGAGAAGGGGCGTGAGTGGACGAGAGCTGAGGAAGTGTTGTCCCAGGTCAGCCATAAAAACTTTGGCATATTGTGGGGCCATGCGTCAATTCCTTTAAGTTTCAGCTTTGCAACCATATTCCCCCCGGAACCCAAAGACTTTGGTTTCCCGTAAGCTGCCCGGCGGGTCATGGGAATAACGCCGCCGGATCGCTAGTCGGCATCGTTTATGGTCGGAACTACGACGGTATCTGATCGTCTTCGAACCTCCGACTTTCGTTCTTGATTAATGAAAACATTCTTGGCAAATGCTTTCGCTTTGGTCCGTCTTGCGCCGGTCCAAGAATTTCACCTCTAGCAGCACAATACGAATGCCACCGGCCATCCCTCTTAATCATGGCCCCAGTTCCGAAAACCAACAAAATAGAACCGGAGTCCTATTCCATTATTCCTAGCTGGAGTATTCTGGCGACCAGCCTGCTTTGAACACTCTAATTTTTTCAAAGTAAACGCTTCTACTGAGTAAAGCGACACCATCAGATCAGGATTTGACACCATCAGATCAGGATTAAACAAAGACTGTGAATGGCTAGCCAACTACAAAAGCAGTTTCTCCTCCCTTGGTGTTCACACCTCAACTGCTAGCAGAGCACCTCACCCTCCCTGATTGAACTAACCTCGTTATCTCCATACTGATTTATACCTGCCTCTGGAGATTTCCATTACTTGCATCTGAAGAAGTGAGGTTCTTACCCACGAAAGCTTATGCTCCCAATACTTCTGTTAGTCTTAAAGGTGCCACAGGTCCCTCTGTTATTTTTTTTTTTGGTTTGCTATTTTCTAAATAGGGCCTAATACGTCTTGCTTTCTTGTAGACTGAGCTCTGCAATTCATGAATAATACAGTCTCTTGAAATAAGTATAAACACAATAGAAAATGATCTCAAACTTTCTTTCAAACATTTAATATAACCAAACTACACTGTAAAACAATTACCAATTCTTCCTTGAATATATATATGCGATTCATTATCGCCTAGGAAAGTTATGAATTTCAATCAACAGGAAACTATGATACTTCAGATGGAAAATTATGAAGAAAATGAAAACATGCTATGTAAGTATGTGCTGTCACATGAAGCACTTATACATTTTACCAACTTCAGCAGGACTCTACCTGAATGTGCTGGTACATGTAACATTTTTAAGTCAAATCTAACTGGTGCTTGTTTCATTATCTGGAAAAGAAAACAAAAAACAGTGGTTTGACTCAAGCCTATTTTAGATTTTTTTTAAAGCATTTGTAAACGTCTTTAAAGTAGAGAAACATATAAACACAGACAAAGATAGACAAAAATATATTTAGCACATACACAGTATACAAGCCACTCCTACCATTATAATTTAAGTGTCAATGAGAAACAGGCCTAGAACCCAGGCCCACAAGGTTCATGAGAGCAGCCATGCTCCACAACCCTCCACCTAGCAGCCTATCAGTAGCTTACCTGACATCCACGTAGCCCAGCCCCAGTACAAGGCGCCACCCCTGAGGTCCAATTGGCTGAGTCCCAAAGCAGCTGATTGGCCACTGGCTCTGCTTAAGTTAGCAGCAACACCAGGAAGCTGTCCCAACAACTGGGCTCCACTCCCCTTTGGACCATACCTTGTGTTTCGTGCTTGCTGCTTGATCATCTGGCTTTCTGACCCAGCTTAACTGCTAGCATCTGATTTATGGTTCCTGACCTCCAATTTGTCTCCCACCTCTGACTCCCTGGTATCCTGACCTAGCCTGACTCTGGTTCCCGATTCGTGGTTCTGATCTCCAGTTTGTCTCCTGCTTCTGACCTCCCAGTATCCCAACTCAGCTGACTCTTGATTCCTGCCTCATGACTGTGGACTCTGACTTTAGTAGGTCTGGCAGCCCACAACCCACACATGACAGCTTGTTCGGACCACTATAACCCTGTGGGACTGAGCTCAGTGCAAGAAGGATGGACCCAGCAGCACAACCACAGTCACCAGAAGTATCAGACTCGCCCAACGTGGCTAATCAAGCACTGCAGGCTTAAGTTGCACAGCTGACCTCGGACAACCAGCAGCTGCAGGAGCAAGCAAGGCAAATCAGCACCGAGAACACTGCAAATACAGCCTGCTGCACCTTTCCCAAAACAGGGGGCCTGTGATATCTTGGCCTGAACAGTCTGGTAGTTCCAGGGTTTAATGAACCAATGCCATCTTCTGTTCCTGATGTGTCCCCAGACCTAAGCCTCTGACCCAGCCAAGGTGGCCTTGGTACTTGGAATGCTGGTAAGAAGTGCATTAGATTACCCCCCTCTCTCTTCCCCCCCCCACTGGAAGGGCATACCCCAAATGCTGTCAAACTGGGCCACCTTTCTCCAATTGATGTCAGGCATCTTTGATGACCTTCACCGAGCTCAAACAGGGCCAGGCTGTTCACAACTGGATAGTCCCCACAATGTGCATGGCCTACAATGTTTTTTAGGCTTCACAAACTTCTACCAGAGGTTCATTTAGAATTTTTCAAAACACAAGCCAAGCCCCTTACTGCCACACTCCAGAAAAACATGCAGTTCCATTGGTCACCCAAGGCCCAGCACATATTCAAGCAGTCGAAGCTTGCCTTCACCGCAGCTCCAGTATTGGCCTAGCCAGGTGCAATGCAAGCTTTTGTTGTGGAAGCAGATGTCTTTAGTATGTCAATCAGGGCAGTCCTCTCCCAAAGGCAAATACTGCACCTCATCACCTACTACTTGAGGAAGCTCACCCACGCTGAGCAAAACTACAAGATCTTCAACAAGAGCTCCTGGCAATTAAAATCACCTTCGAAGAGAAGCAACACTACTTGGAAAGGGCCTACCATCAGGTCCAAGTGTTCACGGACCATAAGAACCAGCGATTCCTGCACAAGGCTGTCCCTAAACCAATGACAGTTCCAGTGCCCTATTCTTCTCCTGGTTAAACTTTACCTTGACCTACTGCCCAGAAATGGCAAGGTCGACACCTTGTCCCAAAGATATGGCTCTGACCCATGAGGTCTCAGCTTGGAATCCAAATTACAGTGTATGCATCTCACTGTTTCCATGTCCATATCGAATCAATTCATTGGGGGGGGGGGTGTGCGGGGGAAGAAATCAGCCAAATGTTTTCCTCAATAACCTCTCATTTATATTGGCCAAAATCAGAGTTCCCACTGAAGGCAGAAGCAGATTTTTAAAATTCACAATTAACATTAGGCTTGATTAACTACCAGAGATGTAGAAAACTCTGCTAAAGTATCATGTCCTTTTATTCCCTGGTGTTTACCTGAGAGTAATATTTACCTGGCAAACTGCTCTCAAACAAATGGTGGGGCCAAAGTTGTGGTAAAAGAAATTTTTTTCCAGGAAAATGTCTCAGAGACTTGACAAAAAGTCAGGCTCTGTCATGAAAACAATAAAAACAAAAACAAAACCTACTTGATCAATCATTAAATGTCACCTGCTCCTGGGCCTATCATGGTATACAACAGGACATTTTGGACTGGACTTGAGTTTAAACCAGGTTAACTAGAATCATGTTTAAAAGTGGCCTTTACTGGAAAGATTCTAACACAGTTTCACTGGCCAGTGAATTCATGGATGAAATGCACTATCAACAACTTTACAAAGACAAGACAGGGACAAATGGACTCACCAGTCAAATCAAGTGTAGTTTTAAATAATGGAAAAAAATTCTTTCAAAACAACACTATCCTTAAAAGCCAACTATTTAGATTGTTATAAGGCGGTGATAATAGGGGGACTTAAAATGGTGAAACCAAGGAACAGAAACTATTAAAAACAAAGGGGTTTTGTTTATTTTTCAGTTTAAAGCATAGATCTTTTTAGTAAGTACAGACTGTAAGCAATAGCCTTTCCATAGTTAGAAAGGCAGCTGCCTCCGGTACAAAATATTTCAGTCCAAACACCTGCAATTTATTAATTAAAGTTGTTTAAAATAACTTGATTTTTTTGTACATAGAGGCCTTCACACCATTCAGCACAAGTGGTAGTCTCTGCTCAAGACTCTCTGTACTAGAAGAGAAGGAGTTTTCCAGATCAGGATTAAGGTGCCATAGCAGAGAATTGTGAACATTTGTCCAGTGTTGCCTACAATTTTAGTCTCTCGTTTTCAGAAATATTCAATTCATATTTTTTAGAAAAATTAATCATATGTCTAAACCCTGCCAATTTTTCTGCACCCTGCAAACATCCCGCAACAGAAGTTCGTGTGAAAATCTAAATCCTAGTGTAAAAGGATTAGTATTCAGTGAGAAGACATCTAAATCTAAAAAGTTTCATTTTAATAAGCATACCTTTAAATAAATATCTGTCGAGACTAGATGTTACTGGCGTTTAATAAGTGAATGCAAGATATCAAAAGGTAAATCTGCAAGGGCACCAAATGCAACATTTAGTAGCTTCCACTAATTGTGGGAAACCCTTTCAGATTAATATTTGATCCTCAAATAAATCAGTTCTCCATACTGACTGTATATAAAACTGCAGAAATCTTGTCAAAAGGCTTAGCAGATGACTGGGTGGAGCTGTTTATGATGAGAACAATAAAGGAAAGGAAAAGAGTGGCCACCCTGTTTAAAGATTTATCTGTGCAATAAACAGCACAGCAAGTTCCTTAATCTATTCTTTAGTATCTTACTTTGCCATACCTTTGGATTGTCAATAATAGGGGTTACAAAAAGGTCAGATTCTGTGTAGATGAGCTCTTTCATCTTGGACTCCATGTCCTGCTGGCTTGAGTGTACATTTTTACCCTAGAACAAGAACAAAAATACAGTAGTCAGGTTTGTAAGAAGAGTTTTCAAAATTTTTGCTGCAATATTTCTTTTAAACACTACCAAACTGCATTGTATGGATAACGCAAATACTCTGTGTTTGTATTATTTGCTTTATGGGAGTGAATAGATTCCTTAACTAAGATCAGGTCCCACTGTGCTAGGCACTATACAAACATCCAGTAAGAGAAAGATGCTGATCCAATAGAAATAGACAAGCCAGACAAAGGGTGCTGAGACAAAAGGAGATTACGTGACTTGCCCAAGTTCTAAAAATCTTTCCAGAATCAGGGCCTTGTATTCATTATCCGCACCCCAGTTACTGCAGCACATTCTATTACCATATATTTTTTTTTAAAATTCCCACCAACCTACAGACACACTTTTCTTAAATCTCTCATGAAATAGCAGGTATTTACATGCCAATTATATGGTTTATGCATTTCTTATTACTCAGTGAACATGTTTTGTATGGACAATGCCCATTACTTTGTCCAGTACATCTCTTTAATGTTCATTGGGAAGGGGGGAATGAAATTTTATTTACACATCCCACCATGCCCAATTACCAACACCACCATTTTTGAAAAATGTATTCAGGTGCTTAACTTTACACACTGTAAATAGTCCCATTCAGAGTCAATGTGTATAAATCTTTGAAGGATTAGAGCCCAAAATTTCAACAGTATTGGCCTTTTTAAAAATAAAGAAAAGAAAGTTGGGAACTTACAATCAACAGTTATATAAATGATTAGAATAATATTGTGTCTAAAATCCTATTTAAATTAAATCCTTTTCTTTTATGAGACTTAGTTTTATTCATCAAACTGCATTTATGACATTTATGAGAAAATTGGAGCTATTATTCTCTCCCTAAAGTATGTTTACTCAATACACTAGTAATTACCACCGACTATCAGTTATGTTTTATGATCTGTAATTAAAATAATATTAACATATTCCTTTTGAGCAGCAAAGATTGATAAATAAAAATAAAAATACATTATTTCAGACATAGGTATGTGTTTGTTTTAAAACAAGGGGGGAAAAAAACTAACAAAAGTTAAAACTGCCACATTAAATTAAAAAAATATAATCAGAAAATATAAGTATCAAGAATATAACAGCTTTAAAATACCCACCTTTTAAAAGTCATACAAAATGATAAAATAAGAGGAGTAGTCTTACAATTTATATATTTTGTAAGAAATATTTACATGTGAAAATTAACATTAGACATTCCAATAATAACCTTAAGAGTAACTCATATTTCTTTTTTCCCTACGCAATGCAGTTATTCACTAATGTGTTTAATAACTATTGTATGTTATACAAAATGACTAATATAAAGATAACACATTATACTTATATTATAAAATATTTTAGAAATTGTACATAGCATAATATAAGGTATATTAATTGTAGATCAGTAATAGATACAAAAAGAGATCTTTCTGCAATATCGATAGTACATAATTAACTAAAATGTTAGTATTCTGGAATTGAAAGAGGTGTGTGCAATACACCTTAAAGACAGGGGCGGGGAGTTGTTTGGGCCCTGCCCCAGCCTAGAGCCTGCACTCAGCACCTGAACTCCGTCCCAGAGCCTGCACCCCCACCCCCTTCCCACACACTCTCTCCTGCCCCCAAACTCCCTCCCAGACCCTGCACCCCTCACCCCCTTCTGAACCCTCACCCCTTGCCACAGCCCAGAGCCTACACCCAAACTCTGTCCCAGAGCCTGCACCCCTCACCCCCTCCTGCACCCCCAGAGCCTGCACCCAGCACCCAAACTCCATCCCAGAACCTGTACCTCAGGCCCCGTCCCCCACCCAAACTCCCTCCCAGAGCCCAACCTCTCACCCCTTCTGCACCCAAACTCCCTCCCAGAGCCTGCACCCCAATCCCCTGCCCCAGCCCAGGGCTTGAACCCCAGACCTCCTCCCCCACGCAAACTCCCTCCCAGAGCCTTAGGCAGGTGGGGTGCGGGTTCTGGGCACCACCAAAATTTCTATAAATCTGCCACCCCTGCTTAAAGATACAGCTTATGTAGTCTGAATTTAGTTACTGTAGTAGATACATTAGTCCTCCTTCCACCGAACATGTGTTAAACCATCTTTCTATAACTCAGAACTTGAAATATTACATTTCTCGAGAGCTGTCTCTTACAGGTCAGAGTTAACACTGTTCTTGAAATATCTACTGTTAGTTTTCATACATGCAAGATTTTTTTAGTTAATGTATCAGCTGTAACAATATTGAAACTTTCTTTATATTACCTTATCTTTTCTATATATTTTTTCAATGTTAGATTTTTTTTTTTTTTTTAAATTATAACACTCCTGGTAATGTTTTCTAATGTTTGTGTAACATCCTACAGTAACCTTATTACCCTTTTTATTTAATTAATTTATGTATTGGTCTGGCAATCTCTTTTATTTCTCTTAATTAAGGGGCAAGAGACGCTGAGCTCCCAAAGTTTGGGCTAATGCAGGGGCAAGTTTGGCCCCTGGTGTAATTAACAGCAGCCCTGAGAATTGATCTTAAAATTCTGTAAATGTGTAGATTTGGGGATTTTTTGTTTTTAATTTCAAGAGGAAATGGAGTGCAAGTTGGCTTTATAATGGAATCCAGGTTGCAATCTTAACTATGGAAATATTACTATCTCACAATAATATACTTCTCACCTTTGTCAAGCATAAAGTTCTTTGTTCTGAATTCTGAGTTAAGGCGGCAGCAGCAGCACTATTCATTTCTACTGCAGTGCTAGTCCTCGGAGTGGGACGAGAGCTGAAAGACATTATACAAAAATTAAAGAAGAGTGCTGATTAGCTTTCATGGATTACAAGACATATTCTGGATTATGAAACCGCTACATAATTCCCATTTGTGAGGGGAAAGTGTCACGGCTGACAGGCACAATATTTGTTCCATCAACCCAATATATATTTCCTGTTTTTAAATCCCCCATAATAGTTTGTTTTTTTCCCCCCACCATCAACCCTCCAAACCAAAGGACGTAGTCATATTAAAATCCCATCTCCTAAACGTGATGAGTCACCAAACAATATCTCAAGGCGATTAATTTGCTGGATTGCAATGCACTTTATACTGTTCTCAGCGCTAAACAGCCAGCAGTGAGAATGGAAGAAGTATTGAAACTGACAAGTATTCTGATGGTTTTTGTATTCATTCTTTTCATTTTCAAAATACTGTTTGTTCATAACATTTTTACAAGGTCACCAAGAAGATTAGGAGGACACACAAGGAGAGACCAGGGTGTTGTGATAAAAACAAATTCACTGATTAACCAAGCTAGGTGTTTGGATTTTTACCCCAATGTAATCCTTGCTTTAGACAGATCTTTCTACTAGATTAGTGAATGGTGAGGGAGGCTGTTTCTGAAACAAGCAAGTTTCTGCTTCATGTGGACAGAAACTAAGCCTCTTATATCAAAAATGAATCTCTCCTGCCTTGCGGCAAATGAAAAACACACACAAAATAGGCCCTCACCAACTAAAACTCATCATTTCAGTTTTTATTTAATGGCTCCTGGGGCACATTGCACAAATAGCACACATAGCAACTGATAGCCTGTGCAGCACAACTGACAGGTCTTTGCAGGCACTATTTGTTGGCCTGGCTGAAACTGCAAGCTTCAAACACTCCACCCTATTAAGAAGCAATTAAAAATTGTTTAAGTGGTAAAGAGCATTTGTGCATACATAAAGCAAGAATAGAAGTAATGAATAACAGATAAACCTAAATTTTTCTAATCCTGTTTAGCAAAACAGCCCAGAGACTACAAGATATTGCTATGAAAAACAGTAAAATAAAGCAATATTTAAATCGTGGGCTACAACATCTCAAGGGTTTCTTTATACTAACTACCTAAACACAATTTTCCGTACAGAATCATGAGCCAATCTGCTTGCGTACAAATACTGCATTCCAGCCTGCGCTCTTTTAATTAAAAAATAACATTTAAGAAGATACTCCATACATTTTTTCTTTTCTAGGTTTTTTTTTTTTTTTTTATTGCTCTTTAGTTTGTCATACCTAAGAAGAAATATGGACTCATTTGATTCACCACCAGGTGCACTTTTAGGCTGCAACTCAGATGGATTTTCTGTTAAAAACAAAACAAAACAAAACATGGAACTCATATTCATTTAAAGATTAAGAGAAATAAAATTTATGGAACAAGTATACTGCTGGGATTACAAGGCTGATTGGATTTACAGAACACACTCATCTGAAATGAGACAATATTAGCAATACATAATCTTACCTAGTTTGAAAGATTTATTAAGTTGCTTATCTGCTCGTGAGGATGACATGTCATTTGAATTTTTATGGGTATCCAATGGGTCCTTGGTATCTCTAGATACAAACAACTCCGTGGTTTCACTGTTGTTTAATAAGACATGCTAGTTAGACACTAGTTACATAGTGTAATCATTTCAAAAAATCAATACTATAGTGTTTTTATATTTGCACTAGTGTTCGCAATAGTGATAGATACGTTTCAAGAGACAAGATTCAAGATACAATAACTTTCATAGCACGGATGTAACAAAATTTTAAAAACATTTTTATAAATTAAAATAAAAATACAAATAATGACCAGAAAACAGGTTTTTTTATAGTAAAAAGGATATTTCTCTACTTATATTTATTATAAAATGTTATTTTCACTGAACATATTGTACCTTGAGCTTATGTCCTGGCTATTTGCGGAATCACCATCATATCTGTTGAAAGCATCTTTCCAGAATGGATGCTGTAACAGGTCTGTCCAGTTCAATCTTTGTAATACAATAGAATAAAGATACTGAAACAGCACTACAATATAGTACCATGATTTAATATTCTATGAATTTCTCAGTGACTGACAAACCTGTTATTATGTAACAATGTAATCATAGCATTTATAAGTCACAAGCCCAGTAAAATAGATATTTTAACTGCTTTCTTCTCCCACTTTCAAAACAAGTTTGGACTGATTTTAAATTTTATATGATTCTAAAATTTCCATCATTATCATTATCCTGGTGTTTGTTTGTTTAGTACTGATTATCAGAGTAATTTAATCAAAACACTCAGCACAAATCTTTGTATGAGAACAATATTAATTAACTGCAACATATTTGAAACAGACAGTTACATCTTTTTGCAGATGTAATCTGCAAAATGTCATGAATTCAGTATTGCAATAGTCATCGCTTTTCGGAAGAGGAGAAAACATAATGTGTGATTAATTGTCCTGGATTAGACCGCTTTACCTCTTTTGAGGATCCTTTTGAAGCAAACCATCCAGCAAACTAAGGAAGTGTGAAGAAGGTTTGGGAAGAGCAGAACCTGTAAACAGCAAAACTTCAAATAATAAAATGAATTTAGCCTAAAACTAGAATGATTATATGAATAATAGAAGAAATATAGAGTTCATATATAGGTCCTGTTCCTGCTAGTCACTAAAGACAAGGGATATACATGGGTACAGAGGTCTGTCTACTTGTATATGATAACACAACCAGAACCTAAGACAGCACATGCAACAGAAGCTTCCAGTAACTAAGCAGCTGTAATTTTAAAAGTTTCTAAAAGGAAATATTCACATTGGGATGATTCTCATACAGTATAAAAGAAATGGTTACTCGCCCTGTGCAGTAACTGTAGTTCCTCGAGATGTGTCCCTCTATAGGTGCCCCACCTTAAGTGCATTTGCACCCCCTGTGCGTTTGATTGGAAATTTCTCATGGCAGTGTCCGTTTAGCCCATGCATGTATGCTAGTCAGCCTCGTGCCATTGTTATATAACATGGCATGGGTGGACCACCCTCAGTTCCTTCTCTACAGCAAAGCCCTATAGCAGAGAAGGTGGAGTGCGGGTAATGGAGCATCCATAGAGACCACATCTTGAAGAACTGCAGTTACTGCACAGGGTGAGAAACCATTTATTATTCTTCTTTGAGTAGTGTCCCTATGGGTGCTCCACTCTAGGTGGTTATTGAGTAGCCCCCCTTTAAGGAGGAGGAGGGGGCTTTGGAGTCGAGTCCAGTATGGAAGAAAGTACTTCTGATACTGTGTTTGACTCCGTTGTAGAGTCACAAGTTATTGCACAGTGTTCAGCGAATGTATGTATAGAAGCCCAAGTAGCAGCTTTACATATTTCAGTAATGGACACCTTTTTGAGAAATGCCATAGAAGTGGAAATGAATTTCATACAGTGAGTTCGTATGTCAGAAGGTGTTTGAATATTATGCGATTTGTAGCAATTAATTCAGTCAGATATCCACTTGGAAAGTCTTTGATTAGAGATTGCAGATCCATTGAGCTATCTGCGAGTGAGACAAACAATTTGGGGTCTTTCTGAAGAGTTTAGAGTTCTATCCTGACAGAAGGCCAGGGCTCTCCTGACATCAAGGGTGTGCAACAATGCCTCTTGTTTATCTAGGTGAGGTTTAGGGTGGAAGACTGGCAGGTGAATAGGTTAATTAATATGGAATTCAGAGGAGACTGTTACCCACAGTTTTCAGAACCCAAAGCAGAGGTAATTTAATTGTTTCTCTCCAGAACATGTCAGGAATAAATCATTGGGGACACAGTTCCTTCCTCTGTCTGATAAATGATTGGTAGAAACAAGAGTGCTTTTACATAAAACTACTCTTTTATTAGGTCTCAAGCACACACACACACACACACACACACACACACACACACGCTGTAGCAGGAGGTTCAGAACACCCCAAACATTTATATAGACTAAGATGGGTTCAAATGATTAGCAACCAGGCTGGGGGCCCTCCTTCCGTCCAGCTGCTGGGAAGTTTAGGTGTCAGCTCCTTGCCTAAAGAAAAGTTTCCTCAGACTGCTCCAAAGCATGCTTTCTAACTAACTCTATAGATTTTCTCCGGACAAAGCACATAGGCTGTTATGAGTTATTTCCATCGCAACAGTCAACAACAATTCATTATTATCCGCATCATCAAAGCAGCTTCAGGAAAAAAAAGAAAAACATCTTACAAACAGATAACCAGAATCAAGGTCAGTTTTCCACACGCCCCACCACCACCAACGAATCTGTCCTTTTCACTTTATCTATCCCACTCAGTAAAATTGCAGCTTGCAGCTCTTTTTGTCTGCCTAAGCAAGGCCAGATTTTTCTCCTGACTCTATGGTGTCCTCGATTCTAGCTGCCGGGGAGGGGGAGGGAGAGGCTAAGTGCTCAAGATGACTGCAGATTATATCAAATCCAGGTCTCTCACAACAATGTTAGGTAGAAATTTGACCTTATCCTTAAAAAATACTGTGAAAGGAGGGCATGCCATACAGGCTCTAATTTCCCCAACCTGTCATGCTGACATGGTGGCTATCAGGAATGCCATTTTCACTGATAAATGGAGAAGCAAGCAGGTAGCCATCAGTTTAAATGGTGGTCTTGTAAGGCATTTAAGAACTAGGTTGAGTTCCCAAACCGGAGTATGATGCTTAACTGACAGAAAGAGATTTCCGAGCCCCCTTAGGAACCTCACTGTCGTTGGGTGAGCAAAACAGGAAGGAATAAAGGGTGGGAATAACACTCTGCTGGAGAATATAAAGCCATGATGGCTGCCAGGTGGACTCCAATGGAGCTCAGCGACAGCCCTAAACTTTTTAGAGTTAGGACACAGTCTATTTGGCAGCAATGAGGTTGTCAGTGGAATACGTCTGAGGTCACACCAACAGACAAGTCTTGTCCATTTTTAAGAGTATGGGTAGAAGATCGTTTTCTGGTGTGTAATACTATTATTCTTACCTCCTCAAAGCGGGTTGTCTCTAATCCCATGAACCATCAATCAACCAAGCTTTGAGATTAAGAACTTTGAGATTGGGATGTAGGATCTTTCTGCCTTCCTGGAAGAGGAGATGAAGACTAGCCTGCAGAGTGATCAGTGAGCAAACAGCCAGCTGTATTATGTAAGGAAACCATGTGTGTCAGGGCCAGCTCAGAAATATTAGGATGACTCTGGCTTTGTCTTCTTTTATTTTCAGTAGAACTTTGGCTATTAGAGGAGTCAGTGGGAATGCATAGAGGTGATCAGATGACCAATGAAGGTGAAAGGCAACCCCCAGGGATTGGTGACCGAGCCTGCCTTTGGAGCCAAACTGGGCACATTTCTCGTTTATCACTGTGGCAAACAAGTCTATCTGGGGCGTGCCCCATTGCCAGAATATGTGGTATAACATGCTGAAATGTATTTCCCCACTCGTAATCTTGGAAGAAGTGCCTGCTAAATGTATCTGTGATCACATTCTGAACCCCTGGAAGAAAACGACCTGATTGCGTATGCACAGTTTACAAAGCTTGACAGCCTCTGCACAGAGGGAGGGGGATCTTGCTCCTCCCTGCCAGTTGATATAAAACAAAGATTTGGGGGCTGTGCTGAATTGTATTGCTATGTCAGAAAGGGCCACAAATCTATGCAGTGCTTTGGCTCTTGCTGTTACTAAATGGAGATGAGCTCCTATGAATTCCAAGTTTTGTATAGGGATCAGAGTGAATTTTTGAATGTTCAATTGTAGGCCCAATTTGAGGAAGAGATCTATGGCTTCAAAAGTTACCCATGAAGTGACCCTTCAGCAGCCAATCATCCAGGTAAGAGGCCACTAAAATACCTTTCCTGCGGAGCTGAGCCACTACTACTGACATGACCTTCAGAAAGACCCTCGGGGCAGATGACAGGCCAAAAAGGAGTATCCTGTACTGAAAGTTGTCCTGGCCGATAGTAACACATAGGAATCAATTGTGAGATGGGTGGATCGCAATGTGGAAATATGCATCCAGAAAGTCAAGGGCTGAGAAACAATTCCTTTGACAGAATTATCACCTGCAAATATCACCATTTTGAATTTTGGTGCTTTCACATAAGTGTTGAGTAGCCTCAAATCTAGGAGGGGTCTCTAACTGCCATTCTTTTTTTGGTACCAGGAAGTACCTTAAATAAAATCCCTTTCTTCTGTGCTGCATGAGAACTGGTTCTATAGCACCCAAGTATAGAAGAGAGTCCATTTCTACACGAAGCAAGCTCTCATGAGAGGAGTCCCTAAAGAGGCACTGGGCAGGGGGGTTGATTGGTGGAAGGGTCGTAAAGTGGATGGCGTACTCTGGGAAGATGACCTCCAAAACCCACTTGTTTGTGGAGATAGACTCTGAAACCTGCCTGAAGTGGTAAAAGGTGGTCGCTGAAGGGAGGAAGACAGCTGAATTGGTGCAGCTGGTAAGGATGAGGATGGTCATTCAAGACCTCAATCAGCCCATCAAAATTGCTGCTTGGAGCTGGAAGGGTACGAGGTCAAAGGCGGAGAGGTGGATGGTTTCCGTCTCTGGAATTTTAGTCTCTTTTGATGTGGTTCATACAACCTCTAGGAGGTTGGGAATTGCACAGGATGGGATCTCTGAGCCGTCTGTGTCTTGCTAAACCGTCTCTATACACCTGCCTATAAGAGAACACAAACTAACCTTGGAGTCCTTTAACGTGCTCAGAGATTCATCCATACTATCTGCAAACAGTTTAGACCCACTGAAAGGGAAGTCTTCCTCTGTATTCCGGACTTCTTTTGGAAATCTGGAGCCAGAAGTCCCTCTCACAATTACCACCATAGAGACTGAAAGGGTAGCAGTATCAGCAGCACAGAGTAAGGCTTGTAGTTAAGTTCTGGAAGGCAGCTGGCCGTCCACAATAAATTGCCTGGAATTGCTCTCTACACATTGCCAGTAAGCGGTCAACAAAAGAGTTCAGCTTGGTGTAATTTATATGATATTTCACCATTAACGTCTAGTACTTGGCAATTCTAAATTGTAAGGAGGCTGATTAATAAGATTTTCTACCAAGAAGGTCTAAATGCTTCTGATCTTTGTCATAAGCATAGATTTAGTGTGGTGCTGCCTTCCCCATTTGTTAACTGTATCGACCACAAAGAATTAGGAGAGCAATGAGAAAATAAAAACCTCAAGTGTTTTGCTGGAAAGTAATATTTCTTATCTGTGCTCTTGCATGTAGGTGAACTAGTAGATGAGGTGTGTCCAGAAGGGCCACGTTGATGGGCAAGGCTACACGGGCAAATGAGACTGTCTGAAAGATGTCAAGCAGTTTATGATTCTTTAACCTCAAGAGGGATCTGCAAGGAGTCAGCAGTTTTCTTGACCAGATCCTGAAACTGCTTAAAATCATTCTCCAAGGATGGAGGATGAGGCATAACTGCTTCATTCGGAGATGAAGAGGAGATGTTGGTCAGAAGAGAGACCTCCTTCATCAATTCCATCTTCCTGCTCCTCAAAGGTTTCTTCTTGAGGATCAGGTCACCTAGTGAGGTCAGCAGATGAAGGCTGCCTATCTCTGAGCAACAAAGAATTGGGCACCTCAGCCAGGTCTTGGGGAAAAACAAAACTCCTGAGGTAACAAGCATGCTGTTGGTACCGAGTCCGTGGTGTGCAGAGAGGTACTGTGAATCTTGTCTGATACAAGGGAAATGCAGTAGGAACCCAAGCAGGCTTCTTTGATAACGAGGAAGCAGAGGAAGAGCTATTCTTGCCACCTTGGTCTGCCGATGGTCCCAATGATCCCTCTACACCCAAGGCTTTGCCATCTTTCGGCTAACAATGCTCTCGGTACCTGAGGAACCAGCAGCCTCAAAGGTACCAGATTGCAGAGCAGAACATGCTGACCTGGTTGAAGACTCCAACAACCTCGTCTTTTTTGAGGTAGATTCCCTACCTGGTGAACTCAGGGCATGATCTTTGGAAGACTTATGAAAGGTCTTCCTCTTAGATGCCCTAGAGGAGCATGGCTTAGAAATAGTGGAGGCAGCAGACTTGCTTGGAGACTGGTGTACAGGAGGGGTCCCTTGGCCTAGGTCAGAAGATGGATGCAGCGAGCTCACTGTAATGAGGAGATGAAGTTTGATCTCCCTTTTTTTTCTGGCTCTAGATTTCAATGTCAGACAGAAGTTACACTTCTGGGAATGTGCGATTCCCTGAGACAAACAATGCACTGGGAGTACCCATCACTTACCAAGATTGCCTCCTGGCACGACAGACATTTGAAACTAGGAGAACCAGGTATAACCTCCCAGTGAACAAGAACTACCTTATCTACTCACTAACATCTATCTATATAATATATGAGTTTTTCTTCTTATAATTTTTTTTAAACTAAGAAGCTAAAGCTACTACTGCTTACTAACTACCGGTAATTACACTAATACTAAGACCTACTATAAGTGAAGCACTAAAATAAAAACTGGGACACAGCTGAAGTAATCTCAACAGGGACAACTGCCAGAGCTCCATCTCAGGCTGAGGCAGTTGAGAAGCAACTGAGGGCGGTTTGCCTGTGCACTGCTATGTAGCAACTCACAGGATATGACACAAACTAGCATGCATGCACAGGCTGAACGCACATTGCTATGAAAAGTCTCCAATCAATAGCACAGGGGATGCAAGTGCACACATAGGACACTACTCAAAGAAGAATAACCCATTACTTATAGAACAAAGGACTAAACTGTATGCTATATACAATTATTTTTAATTAACCATGTCTTAAATTTAATTTAAAAAATAAATTCAGAAACACTGAATGAATCCAAAGTCCTAAATATGACCTTTTTGCATTTTAAAGGATGCTTAAGAGGAAAAATTCTGCCCTCAAATGCACACAAAACTCTGAATCCAATTAAAATTGTGCACAGGTGCACAAGGGTAGAATTTCATCCTTCAAGGAATTCCTTCCCAAAATCTAGAGTTGATCGTACCTGATAATTGACCAGGTGTTTCAATTCCCTGTACCACAGAGGGATTTCATGTATTGAATTTAAAAACACATTCATATACAGGATCATATTCTGAGCTCCTATGATGAACAGAAATCGCATTGAATCCACTGCAAATTGCACAAGTAGATGAAGGGCAGGATGGCCCATAGTATATAAATTATTCAAAATAAATGATTTGTTCTGAGAAAAACTACACCTAATTTTACAATTAATGTTTATTTTATCAAACAAGACCTAAAACCCAAATTCTAAGTGACTCATGAGTACAGTTCCATATGCAATCTTCTAGCACCATACGATGATAGGACAGCAACTGTACAAAATTTTGCTACAGCATGGAGCCCCAAGGGCTCAGATAAGTCTGCTTTTATACTGTTGTGTGTGTTGTTTCAAAGTATGTTATTTACTGTATAGTCTCTGGGTATAAGTGCCTTTAGGCTAAGGGAAATATTCAGTACTTACTGCTGCAGTAGACAGAATTCGGAGATTTTATTTGCAGTTCACGTTTAATTAGGGTTGCCAATTTTGTTTGGCCATATTCCTGGAAGTTTCATCTCATGACATAATCTTTAATTAAAGATTAATCTTGAATTCCTAGAGACTCCAAGACAATCTTAGAGGGCTAGCAACTCTACGTTTAATACACATACAGTGGACGGAAGAGGAATGTGTAGCAGGCAAGAGATCAAGCAGCTCCAAATCCACTTTAAATTGTCTGCATCATTCACCACTTTCCCAAGATCATTTTCATACCTCAGGTTAACAGGCACAACTCTCACTGATTCAACTAATGACTACAGAATACCAGATTAGTATACTCAGTTTGCAAGCTAAATGAATGCTAAAATCAGTGCAAATTACACTGCTTTGCCACTTGTACCCACCTACATCCATTTGCTGACCAAGTTACATCTGCTATGTTATTTAAATTACTATTTATGTCCACTGTTTCAACCCTGTATTTTTACTTTGAAACCACACTTCTTCACACACATCAAAGGCATTTGAGAACAAGTTCATAGCAAGTTTTAGAAATTTTACTAAACCGTTTTTTGCATCATCAGAGCAAAAAAATTCTGAATTTCTTCATTAACTTGACAAAAAATGCTGCTTTGTCTTGCTTTGAGAACTCAATGTAGTCAATGTAATTTAACCCAATTTAAAAATAAAATGCTGTTTGGTGTGAAAAACAAGTATCAGAAATTTTAACCTAAAAGAATTAATCTTCATTAAATTAGAGCCATCTGAAAATAGTGGCTTAATATGTAATAATAGTAATGGCTTAATATGAAATGTAGCAACATATTTCCCTCTAGAAAATTGCTTTTATTCTTAATATTTAACTTTATATGATGTATCCATTTGCCCAGTCGGCAATAATCCAAAAGAACAGAACAGTTAAACTCCAAAAGGAGACTAGTTCTAATATTCAGTATTAGGGATAGAAATTTCTTATAATTCTGCTAATAAAAGTTTAATTTAATGAGAAAATACACTTCTGTAATAAAGAATTTTAAGCAGAATATTCTTTGCAAACCAAAATATTAATTATCAACATAAGAAACATAAACAAAACTGACTACTACATTCTAAGCATTACTCTAGTTTGACTCATTTAACTATAAGAAAACCTTACCTTTAGGTTTAGGTGGCAAAGGATTTTCATATAAAATCTGTTCAATTAATTCAGAAAAGCTTTCAGAGAAGAATGGAGGTCTTCCTATAAGTATAAGTAGATTCACTTAATTCCATCGAACTTGATTAAACTGCAAAATAATTGTTACTAAATAATCTCATTCAAGAAGCAAGTATTGTCAATCTGAACTCAATTTAACAAATTAATGTCAGTTTAAATACAAATACCCTTGGTGGTGAGAGCCAGTGAGCAATGAGGAATGCAGAACAAAACATGGGCAAGACAGCCATTAAGAATGCCCCTTCATGTCTTGTGTCCCAAAATGGGTCTCCGTGGTAGCCCCAGATGCCAGCAGAGTGGATAATGAGGACAGCAAGACCCACATCTATGTTAATCCAATAGGCTAGCATACTGTGTATGTTGCCACAGGAAGACTGGGCTACAACCCTGCAACCTAGTTTGAAGGAGATTTCACCTTCCCAGATGCTCCCTTCCTGCTCCCCTTCCCCTTACTCTTCACTAAGCCAAAGTAGTGCAATTTTAAAGGTAAAATTCACTTTAGCTGTTTAAAAGAACAAATTAATGCATTTGGTAAATTGTTTTAATGCTTAAGAGCATAAAACCCTTAAATGATAGAATGGGAGCTCAAACCTTTATTATAATTTAGCAAATTATAATTCTGAGCACTAGAGGCAGTTAAAACCATATATTATAATTATACTATAACTCAGATCTTAGTGACATTATCTCAGTTGATTATTTTACAAGGTTCCTAAATAATTGGAAGTCTTCATAGTGTACCAAAAACTCATTTTTCCAAATTATCACAAATGTCAGATAGATAGAAACACAACCTGAAAACATTTCGTAAAGCAAACAGCCCAATGACCACAGATCACTAGCTATGGAGAAGTCAGCTCCTTTTATTGCTTCTGGAGAGGTGTATACAGGCGATCCTACAAAATAAAACATATATAAGGCAACTTGGACTATCCATTCAGCATTTATACAATTCAGAATTTTAAAAAACGCCACCGTGTCAATCCTCCCACCTTACCTCTGGTGTATGCATTATCTCCATTTAAAGATAAATGCTGAACCACAATTTCCCTAAGTACTTGCTCAGTGGCACAGAGAATGTCAATGTCAGATTTGGGATAGAAACTCAGGAATTTGAATTATAGTCCTGTGATCACAACCTTATCTCTCATTAGACAACTATCCTCACTTCATTCTGATATACCTTTTCAGTAGGATTGTGGAAACTATTTTGTTATTTATATTTCTATTTCACTTCCCCTACACATAACCTGAGAAGAACATCTACTGTTTTGTGCTGAAATTTTCTAATGTACCTAGAGAAAGGTCCAAGTCAAAGATGACGCCCAGATTAGGGGATGGAGTGGACAGAATTGTGGTATTGTCCACAGTGATTGAGAAAGGAAGTAGGGGAGGGCTTGAGCTAATGACTAAATATCTATGAGAAGATGTCTGAGACAGAAGTTAAGATTTTAGTTTGGACAGATGGAGACAAGAATGAAGAAGAGAGGCAGATCTGTGAGTCATCAGCATGGCCACTGGTAATTGAATTTGTGTTTACAGATGAGATTACCAGAGATCAAGTTTAGAGGGAGAAGAGAAAGGGACAAGGCATGAGCCCTGTGGAGCCTGCATAGAAAACTGGCAGGGGAATGAGGCTAATCCCCTAAAGGGCACTCTGAAGAAGCAGTAAGAGAGGTTGGAGGAGAACCAGAAGAGAACTGAGTCATGGAAGCCAAGGGAGGTCAAAATTTCAAGACGAGAACATGGGTGATGGAGTCAAAGGTAGCTGACAGGTCAATGAGGACAGAGTGCAGATTCTGAGCTTTAGCTAGGAAGACGTCACTAGAGACTTTGGCGAGAGTGGTTTCAGTGGACTGCAAGGAGCAGAAGCTTGATGGGAGAGGGTTTAGGATGGAACTGAAGGAGAGGAACTCCGGACAACAATTGCAGGTATTATGGTCAATGAGCTAAGACAAACGGGGGAAGGGAGATGGGGCAGTAGTTGTCTGGGTTAAAGAGAAGAGTAAGGAAGGAGATGAGAGAGAAGGCAGACCAGAAGATGGGATGGGGTCACTGAGCCAAGAGGTCAGGTTAGAGAACAGACAAGAAGCTTCTGCATCTGTGATGGGGAGAAGGAGGAGAGAGTTGTGGGAGGGATGGGAAGGTCACATTGTATTTTGTCAATTTTCTCTTGGAAGAAGTCAGCAAGAGCCTGTGGAGAGAGAGAAGTGGAGGCAGAAGGAGGGGATGATATATATAAATAGACCATTTATAGTGGTTTGCCTTTGCGGTTTTTCCACCTCCCCTTGAAGCATCCGATACTGAATGCTGTCATGGACAGGATACCAGACTATATGGACCACTGGTCTGATTCAGTATAGCTACTCCTATGTTAAACTAGTATTAAAGTAGGATGGAAATAGGGCTACACTCTGCCATACTGGACTCCCACTCTTTCAAACAATGCCACTTTTCATTAAGATGACCATCACCCACAGTAGCTTCAAATATGCCAACTGTATTTAAAAGCTCTGTGAAGCACATTTGCACAAAGTGTATTCAAAAAGGGCTTCCTCTCTTCTGAGCTCAGTTTGCTGTACACAGACACAAAATAGATGTAGTTTACTTTTAAATATAATACATGTACTTAAACTCAATATTAGTAAAACAGTTTACAGGAATGGAGGCATTTCAGTGTTTGGGAAATTGGGAACACAGCCATGAAAGACAAAATTGCAGTGTCAGTTTTCACAGACTGTACAAGAGAAGAGGAAGGAGAAGAATGCAGTGACTTTCTGTTGGAATGATTTTTTCTTAGTACTGTGTTTTGTAAAATACATATCGACCCCTTTTGAGTAGAAGCCACAGAACTGGATTCATAGAAATGTTTATCCCTATTTAAAAAGGAGAGTACCATTTTATGCAATTTAGTTAGATATGTACACCATGCAACTGAGGGTGAGATGAGTCCCAAACAGAAAAAATGCTGTCAAATTATTTATAGTATTTATTCACATAATGTCTGTTCCCACAACCCTTGCACAGGTGAAACTCCTGTTGAAGCCAATAAATAGGATATTGGTTACAAATTTAAGCCAATTTCTATGTATTTTTACTTAAATGAAAAATACTGGCAATAACAAAATACACAAATCCAATTATAAGCCAAATGGTTTATCAGAATAATCTTCTTTATTTTCCTACAATCCCCTTTCTTTAAGTGGGCTGGAGTGCTGCTAAAATAGTGAAGCAGACATCCTCTCCTGTTACATATAATCTTGCAGTCCTTGTGTCGTACTGGCAGAGAATGACTATAGAGCTACCTAGATCTTCAGGACATTTCAGATTAAATCACTTTTATTTACTGATGCCAAATCCCATTTTCGCTCAATACTACACCTACTTAAATACTTTTTATAATATGCCTGAATATAAATCATGAATAATGTTTCATATACAAAAGATATAACATACCTGTCTGCCAATTAACCTCAACATAGGAGGAATAAAAATAGAAAGTTTATTATCCATCAGTATTATACCATAGTCACTAAGGGTTACACAAAGTCAACAAATTTTTCAGTAAGTTCCATCCTCCTTTCAAGAGCACATATTGGTTTCTTTTATCCTTAGGTTTTGGTTTGTAAGAGGGGATAGGTTGTTAACCACACACACACACACACACACACACACACACACAATTGCAGTCATTCTGATAAAGATATCTCAAAGAGGTTGTTGTTTCTTCCTGAATACAGTAGCTTCATCATCATTCTTATTTCTTGCAATACGGAGCTTCATTAAGAAAGAGTGAAATTTACACGAGCAGGAGACAAAGCTTATTGTCAATAGTTCACTTATTCCTAATAAGTATTGTGGTTGTGGCAGATCAACATTGTGAAGAGAGGGAAGCGGTCTCTGAAATAGTCCAATCCCATAGCATAGAGCAGGGGTTCTCAAACTGGGGGTTGGGACCCCTTAGGGTTCATGAGGTTATTACATGGGGGGTCGTGAGCTGTCAACCTCCACCCCAAACCCCGCTTGCCTCCAGCATTTATATTGGTGTTAAATATATTAAAAAGTGTGTTTAATTTATGGGTGGGGGGGGTTCGGACTCAGAGGTTTGCTGTGTGAAAGGGGTCGCCAGTAAAAAAAGGTTTGAGACCCACTGGCATAGAGGGTTTTGAAGATTAAGTACCGAACTTTAAATTTGTTCTCATACTTGGTGGCATCTCAATTACTGAACTTATAATGCATTTGTATGAACCAGACTTTTTGAGTGAAAAGGCTGCTGCTGCATTCTGGAACAGCAGAAGTTTCTTTAATGACCAGAGTTGATTCCTAAGTACAAGGCACTGCAATAGTCAAGCCTATTGTAAAAAGATATGTTTCACAGTAGCCAGGTCAGCATCCAGTGGGAGGATGGAAAGTCTCCTGGCCAGTAACAGATGGAAGAATATACTTCAAGCCACTGTTAATAAATGGATACCCAATAGCAGTTTGAAGTCCATATTGAGGGCACTAGCAGCCCAAGTTGTTTTTTTAACTGAGATTCCTAGTAGCTTCATATATATGTTAAACAAAAGGGCGACTGAATTAACCCTGTCATACCCCATAGGCGAGGTCCTTTGATTATATAACTAACTATCCCAAATTAACTTCCAAGTTCTCTGAGATGTAAATGGAGCACACATACTCTAAATCAACTCCACCTCCTACTAGTGGTAGGATCGAATGTGATACCATAGATCATAGGGTGTTGCTACTGAAGGCACCTGACAGACTTTAAAAGTATCAGCATAGACATGCTGCCTCAACCTTGGCTAGGAGGACAGCACAGTCCCAGTCCACCAAAGCCTTTTCTTCACTGCACTCTGGGAAGCCCAGTATGCAAGATCTCTCTGCTGTCCAACTGAGGGAGACATATCTTCACTTCATTCTAAGTATGGAAAACATGGAACGATGAAATATGCAAAAGAATCCTGAGGGACGTTACCAAGGTTCTGTCAACTGGAGTTCAGTGAGTTAGAGAAGTACTTAACATAATTTTTAGGGCTGTTGACTAATCGCAGTTAACTCATGCGATTAACTCAAAAAAATTAATCATGATTAATCGCAGCTTTAATTGCACTTTTAAACAATAGAATATCAATTGGAATTGATTACATATATTCGCACTGTAAAAAAAGAAATAGTATTTTTCAATTCCCCCATTACAAGTACTGTAGTGCAATCTCTATCATGAAAGTTGAACTTACAAAGGTAGAATTATGAACAAAAATAACTGCATTCAAAAACAAAACAATGTAAAACTTTAGAGCCTAAAAGTTCACTCAGTCCTATTTCTTGTTCAGCCAATCGCTCAGACAAACAAGCGTGTTCACATTTGTGGGAGATAATGCTGCCCGTTTCTTGTTTACAATGTCACCTGAATGTGAGAACAGGCATCCTCATGGCACTGTTGTAGCTGGCATCGCAAGATATTTACGTGCCAGATGTGCTAAAGATTCGTATGTCCCTTCATGCTTCAACCACCATTCCAGTGCAAACATTTCTAATAAATAATATAAAGTGAGCACTGTACACTTTGTATTCTGTGTTGTAACTGAAATCAATATATTTGAAAATGTAGAAAACATCAAAAATATTTAAATAAATGGTATTCTATTATTAACATGATTAATCGTGCTATTAATCGCGCCTAATTGCTTGACAGCCCTAATAATTTTATATCATGATCAGATGGGTTAGAATTGATTTTCTGTCCTCCCATTTAAACAGATTTGATATCTCCTTAGCCACATCACGTAGGCAAATATACCACACAATGATGTTTGGTCCTCTCTAGAAGATTTTAATTTAAAGAAAAAACAAAAACAAAACAAATCTGCTGAAGGGACTATTTTTATGTTCTACTGATTGTGGAGTGCAAAGTTTAATCTCTTAAGGATAAAGATCTTCTGTTTATTAGGCACATTTGTGTCTATAATTAGCTTAATGCTACTTATTTCAGTACTTCTCAGAAGCTGTACACTATTGGCAACCTCATAACATCTTCCCTTGCTTTACCATAGTTCCAACCGTCATTTCCACATACACTGGCTTTCACCATATTGCTGGAGCTCAACAGGCTCTAAATAAAGAAACGCATTTTGCTGTGTTAGCTGTCATCTAAAATGGATTTATTTATATTTCTATATATGGTGCTCCATATACTAGGTACCCCCATATGAAAGTTCAAATGGTTACTCTAAATGTTCACAAAATCATACGGTTTGCACTTAATCGAGGAAATGAGAAATGTATAAATAGCCAACTCTATTTTAGTTTTAGTTTTCCCATTCGTCTGTATCAAATACAGAAGCATAACCTAAAATAAATAATAAACCAACCAACCCAAATTTAATAAAAGAGTTAATATTTCTAGTTAATTAAGCCCTTTGCTCCATTTAAAGTCTGTTATCCATCTGATCATTTTGTTTTAAAAACGACTCCTGAAAATTGGTTTATTCTTTTAAATAAAAAAAAAAAAAAATTGAAACAGCAGCACACCAGCCATTGAAATTACTGAAAACTCACCAATGCCAGTGGGAAATGACAGAGCTGTATGTTTGTACAGTAAAAGTTGCATTTCAAAGATGTGATGTTACATCTACAACACTCATTGTAAAAACCAACCACTCTCACTTGTACAGCCACACTGTAAGTTTATATAATTACAGTAATATTAATTCAGCTTCACTGTTCCTATACTTGAATACCTTGATCTGGGCTTCAATTCAAGGATACCTTGAAGACTATTCAGAACAGGCACACTAAAATGATAATACAGTCTTTATTACTTCTTATCACAGATGTATGTTATGCTGTATGTTTGCTAAACTTGGTTTTGTATTGTTATGAAGGTTGGAAACATGACTATGTGTATGTAAAAATCTGTTTCTTCTCTATGTACCTGTCACACACTCAAAGTGCTGGCTAGCAATCTTCCCTGTACTTAAGGATACCAATGATGGTCTGTGCTACCAAAATCTTGCTTACATGAGACTAAGGATAGGTCTACACTGGAGCTAAAAGCTGTAAATTCCAGCTTGAGGACACATACCTGCACTAGCTTTGATTGAGTAAACATGCTAAAAATCGAAGTGTAGCCACAGCAGCGCAAATGTGGGAGGGACTAATTATCCCCAGCATGAACCTATGGTCTCAGACAGGATTGGACTCTGAGCAGCTTGCCGCTCCTGCCACTGTGGCTACACTTCTATTTTTAGTGCATTAGCTCAACCAGAGCTAGCATGGGTATGTCCTCCCCAAGCTAGAATGGGAGCTGCGGGAAGCAGTGGCCTGGCCCGCGCCACTTTCCCGCAGCTCCCATTGGCCGGGAACAGTGAACCGCGGACACTGGGAGCTGTGAGCAGCTGTACCTGCGGATGCTCAGGTAAACAAAGTGTCCCACAGCCCGCCAGGGGCTTACCCTGAACAAGCCGCAAACCAAAGTTTGGGAACCCCTGCCTTAAGCTAACGGTAGCATTAATTACAATGGGGGAGAAGAGGTAAAATAGTCACCTGAAGCAATAGCTGTATGTACAGATAACTTAGTAACAACTTAGTTAACAATTGCCTTTCACAATTAAATTTTATGTGCTCTGATTTTCGTAACAGGTAGTGTAGCTTGTTTTGTGGTTTGTATCATATGCAAATTCCCATAATGCTTCCCATTACATTGTCAGACACTGTCAAAACATTTTATTTTGTTTAGTTCTAAAAAAACCTCTACATTAGTAATAGAAAAACCAAGCATTCTTAATTCCTGCATCCACAAAAAGAATAGTTACAAAAGACCACAATTTTAAGTTTATGGCAGAGAAAATAAGACCCCGTCCTCTCAACAGGATTTAAAATCAAAACATTTTTAAAACATTTCATTATGCCTCACTAAGTTTAGTTAATTTTGACTGGATAAAATATATACTATATGCTGTACCTTTGAGTCTATTTTTCAAGTTTCTTTGTGGAGTGCTTTCACAGCCATCACCATCTCCTTCCTCTGATCCAATTAAAGCAAAAAATTCTTCCAAATTTTCACCCTCTGCTTTAGCCAGGCAAAAATTATTGAACTTCAGTGTGCCAGGCCCTTCCAGAAGTATCTACAGAGGTAAACAAAAGTGAACACCAAGTTGTTTCTCTTACATATAAAGGACTGTTTCAAAAAGCTGAATTTTCCAGTCCAACCTATCTAAGATTGCAGTTTTGATCAAGTCTCATTACCATTAAAAGTATTTATATGGCCCTGTAGTGGGGCAGCTGCCCCACTCCTGTAGAAAAGGGGTTAAAAACAGCCCTGGAGAGAGGGCTGTGGCTGTGAAAAAGGCTAGGCTAGATTGGGGAATGAGCCACAGCTGGGGCCACGCCCCAATCAGGCCACAGCTCACCCTATAAAAGGGCTGTGAGCCAGGAGCTCAAAGAAGAGACTCTCTCTAGCTTCTGAGAGAGAAGGACTGGGCTGCCTGGGAGCTGAGAAAGGTACCTGAGGTGGAGCAGTGCTGGGGAAGGGCAGAGGGAGCTGAGGAGCTCCAGCCTGGTAAAACCCCAGCCTGCAGGCCCTGCTAAAAGGCCAAAAAGGGTACTGGGGCTGCAGAGGGGCAGCCCAGACATAGGCAAAGGCAGCAGGTCCAACCCCCCCTTGCCGATGAGTGGTTTACAGACTGCAGTCTGCCCCAGTGAGCGGGGGCTAGTCGGTGACTGGCAGTAGCCACTGAGGCAAGGTGGGGATAGAGGTTCCCCTGGGTGGGAAGACCCAGATTGTGGGTTACTGCTGGGGCAGAACCCTGATGTAAAGGGCACTGGGGTCCGGGAGGGACACGGGGCCAGCGGCAGGCGAGACACTGGCCTACAGAGGGCGCTCTGGGCTGGAAGAGCTAATTCCTGAGATGACCAGCAGGAGGCGCCACGCCGGTGAGTCTCACCCCATCACAGGCTTTAGTGATCCAGTAAATAGCTGAATGCCTCCCACAAGGGGCGGGGCGGGGGACTACAATGACCTTTTTTCATAGCCATCAAAAGGTGGCTTTTTTATTTTAGACAGATCTGGGCAGAGGGCTTTTTGCTTTTGTTTTAAATGAGCCTGTGACAATGAAGATGATATCGTGGGAAAGCATGGAAAAAGAGGTTTTGCACTTGCTCTGCATGCAGCAAGTTAGCAATCATTCTTAGTTCCAAAATCTTGTTCCAGTTCCTGTGAAGGTTCCATCTCCTGAAGTCATTAGTCTCCTCTACTGGTCAACAGCTATGTTGTTTTAGTGGAACATAGCTGTCATGGGAGATTGTGGTTACACAGAAAGAGGCAATATCACAATAGCCAGGACCAATTCTATGCAGGACTCTGAAATTAAGGATGGCTACTTTGAATTGGACTACGTGTTCAAAGGAGTAATTACCACATACATTACTCTACAGCAAAGATAAAAAGTGATGCATCTTTCAACATGTGTGCATATTAAAGTTTGTTAGACTAGCGTTTAAAATATTTAACATTTAATTTCCAAAATATGGAAGCTAGAGTTGACTAAAAGGATTATCCACATAGCAACCAGATTCTGAGAAACATTTTACCTATTCATCAACCTGGCTTAACAGTAAATTAGTAACTTTAAAGGAAATACAAGCTTTTCAATTCTGTTGTATTCTATTCATGTCTCAATGTCCTGCCATCAGATACACAAATGTGCAGCACTATATTTCTTATGAAGTCATCTACTGACTTTGCGCATACATCCACAGTAGCTAATTTTTACAAGAAACTTGGCAATGCAGAAAATGTGATCACAGAGTAGAGAGTCCGATCGAGAGCAGAGTCAATATATTAAGGAAAAATAAAAATGTTTATTGTGGTCATACTTTGATTCACTATGCACATTTTAGGAAAAACATGTGAGTTTTACTAGACTAAACTCAAAAACTAGGGAAAGATGGGCAGTCCTGTTTTAGGAAACAATTACAATAGGTTGATCATTCATTTATGCAACGTTTGGTATCAACTTCCCATGGAGTTCTCAAAGCAGACAACCAACTTTAGTCTCCAATTGCTATTTACACAATAATTTATGTACTATAGGCAGAATTAATTTTGACTAAGTCATTTTTAAAATATTGTGTGTCATGAAGGATTACCAAGAAACTAAGAAATATGTGGTTTCCTAGTGTAGACAGGGTATGACAGAATGATTCAAAGCTATAAAAACAATGGGACTCCTAAATGAATAATGAAAATCTTTTATTGACTCATCTTTTTATGCTGCAGCATGGAAGCAGATACTATACTCTCAGACACGCATTCTCAGCTGCAGAGTGGTACAGCAGGGAGAGAAAATAAACTAATTAGACTGTAAGGTATTCAGGACATACACTTGTCTCTTACTATGTTCATGCACAACACACAACACCTGGCCTCCAACCTTGAGTAGCACCTCTGGACATTAGCATAATGCAAATAATAATTTCTGAAATTGTAATGATATCTTTGACATAATATAAGATGTTACTCGTTACCTTTCCAGGTGTGAGTTCACAGAAGATAATTCCAAGGTCATGAATGTGATGTAATCCAGTAACCAAATCAATACCAAATTCTCTCACCACATCTTCAGGTAGATGTTCATCTTGCGCAATAACCATTTCTAGTGAACCACCTGAAATGTATTCACACAGAATCCCTTATGACAGTTGTATATCAAGAAAAGGCCAGACCAATAGCCTACTGTGATATTACAGCCTCTTAAAAGAAAAAAAGTTAAAAGGAAAATACAAAACAATTGAAAAAAAATAAATGTTTGCCTATCTTCAATTGCTTTGTGACTCTCCAACAGCCACAAGTTTCAAAATGTATATAAAATAACCTGTTACTCGTCAGCACTAAAGGACTACTTCACCCAGTTGGTTTTGGCCTCTGGAAAAACTGAGGCATGGAAATGTTATTCTCATATACTCACTGTACATCCTCTATACCTAATCACTGAAACATGGGCAAATTTTGAAAATAAGACCCATGTCATCTAATTTGTCCATATGGATCACTAAAACTGAAAAGAGTTCACCACTAACATCAATAATGACCACTTCTGTCAAAGAGTTCCTATTTTATGAAGAAGGCAGAGAGTGGGAAATTGATCAATTCTCTACTGAATTTATTTACATATTTTAGTACTCAAACGAAATTATAACCCTGCATACATCTATGTAGCATGATTTATATCAGACTTCACCTTTTATACAATAATCTTCATCTTTCTCTAGATCAACATTACCGAAAAGTGACAGACCAAACAATTCCGTTTAATTTTCATGAACAAATGGATTTGTTTAGTTATACTATACCATTAACTTATTATGGTAATGACCATAAAAGAAGGTTAACATTATACTGGGTTTTTTTTGTTTTTGTTTTGTTTTTTGGGGGGGGCGGGGGGGTAATTAGAATGTTACAAGAAAACTCTTCTTCAGAAATCAAGATGACTTTTAACTGTTTATATTCTACCTATGGCCATATTTTTATTAATTCTTTATTAAAATAAAAATAATTCTATTCTATAACATCTCCTCTAAGACTTCAGAAGTGGAATGTCTTCCTGTGAATTCTTCCAAAACTAGAGGGATATTAGCTTTATATACAATTTTTTAGTATAACTGTCTAGAGAACAATAACTTCAAAAAGTTATATTGTAAAATCAGTAAGAAATGGTTACTTATTAATAACTGGTTCTTCAAGATGTGATGCAGAAATGTATTCCACTTAAGTATGGGCATGCACACACCTAAGTGGAATACACAGCTGCATCTATTCTAAGAAGAATTAATGTTAATGTATCTACAGCTTTGGAACAACTCTTGCAGCAGTGTGCCAGATGAAATGGGGCTCAAGACCTGAGCACTTTCAAAGTGCTAATGTACTCTGGTCTATCTCCAGAGGCAAGGGATCCCTTGTAAAGAATTTGAAGAGAATCAAAATCAGAGAAATGAAATTAGTGGATTCAGTTGTTCTTTTCTTTTACCTCCCCCACTCCACAATTCCTTAAGTGAACTTTAATACCATGAAAGAAGTTGGATTAGAAGCATTGAAGAATGAAATCATCTATCCACCGAATAGATACAGTACAGGTAGCAGTAGTGCAAGCTTACTATACTGCCCTGCCAATGTGCACCAAACCTATCCAGAAAAAAACAAAAAAAAAACCATTTCTTTACATGAGAGAGTACTTTACCAAAGGTGTCAATTAGCATTAGGTGTGACAGCGGTCAGTAAGGCTCTATTGTTTGCCAGAGATTTGAAGAATTTTTTTTCATCAACTGCATTGCAATAGGCAAATTTTGCTGCTTTTATTAGACTAGTTCTGACTTCCAATTAGAAGTCAGTACATGAGAGGTCTGAAGCAATGGGTACATTTAAGGTTCCAGTGCTGCAAAGACATGTGTATGTGCTTAACTTTACACACAGCAAGGAGTCCCACTGGCTTCAATGGGACCACTCACATGCATTAAGTTAAAACACTGAGCAAATGTTTACAGGATTGGAGCCTAATTTACTTTCTACTATTAATTTTATGCTTTCAAAACTACATACATATAAACCATACACAAAAAGTTATGTTAAAAGCACAATAAGACTGCAGTCAAGCACTTAAAAGTTTGGAACGGCTAGAATTAACCTTATTTCAGCCCCCTTCTGCATATACAGGTACATTATGATTAAGGTTACGTTTTAGTCATGGGTATTTTTAGTAAAAGTCGTGGACAGGTCATGAGCAGTAAACAAAAATTCACAGCCCATGACTTATCCATGACTTTTACTATTTACCCGTAACTTGGGCCGGGGCCCCCGGGTGCTCGGGGAGGGGGATGGGAGGGGCCGCGGTCTGGAGGCACCGTGGGTGCTGGAGGCATGGCCCACGACTCCTGCTGGTGCAGGGGATGGTGGGGGAAGGAGGGGAGTTGGCAGGACTGGTAATATCCCTACCCAGCTCAGCGTGTTTCTGCAGCTCCTAGGGGGAGGGAAGGCCAGGGGGATCCGCGCGCTGCCCCCGCCGAGCTCCGGTTCCGTAGCTCCCATTGGCCGAGAACCGCAGCCAATGAGAGCTGCGGAGGCAGTGCCTGCATGTAAGCACAGCATGCAGAGCCCCCTCAGCCTAGGGCAGGAGTTGCAGTGTCATGCTGGCTGCTTCCAGGGAGCCCCCCCGAGAGGTGAAAGTGGGCCAGTGCAGCATACCGGTAAGAAGTGGCCGCTGGTATGGGCCTGTAAGCAGCTGACGGGGGGGGGGGGGGGGGAACAAAAAGGGCACCTGCTCTGGGGCCCCAGCGATTTGAATGGGCCTGACGCTCCCGGCAGCTGTTGCTGCTACTGCAGCATCAGCTGGAGCCCCAGGCCCTTTAAATGGCCACCGGAGTCCTGGGCAGCGCAGGCTGGGCAGCGCGGAAGGGCTGGCTGAGGGAAGCTGACCCCTGAGCCCCGCCCCTTCCGCACAAGGCCTCACCCATTCCAGGAGCCCGGAGCCAGGCCCCCGTATTGGTAAGTCTTATGTTACTTTCACTCTTGGTCTCCCCCCGCCCTCAGGTAAGCGCCACCCTGCATCCTCGCTTTCCCCTGCCCCAGCCCTGAACTCCCTCCCACACCCAAACTGCTGCTGGCCCAGGGACTGCCTTAATTATGATACAGTCTTTAATTACATGATCACATGCTATTTTTTCCCCACAGGACCCCAGTTCAGCCCGCAGGACACGTGCGGCCCAATTAACACACAGCTGCAGCCCAGCTCAGCTGTGTACTAAAGGTCATGGGTGTGTCTGGGGTCGCAGATTCCCAGCTGGCTGGGGGGAGGGGTCTGGGGTGCCCTGCTGCCTACCGTGGGGGCAGGCTCCTGGCCAGCCCTGTGGGGTCGGGGGGTCCCCACTGGCACTGCACAGTCCAGGGCAGCCGGCCCACCCTGCAGGTTCCAGGGCAGCGGGGAATTGGGGCGGGCCCCGCGTGGCAGGGGTCCTGGGCAGCCGCCTGTCCCCGCAAGCTCCAGGGCAGCCGTGTGGCAGGGGACTGAATCAGGCAGCCAGCCCGGCCCGTGTGGCAGGGGTCCTGAGGTCCAGGCAGCTGGCCGACCGCTGGGGGCAGCGGCCCGTGTGGCAGGAGTCCGGGGTCCATGGTCGAGATCCGGGCTGCCACTGCCCTGACACTTGGTCCCTGTGGCTCAGGTTATGCATTGTGGGCCGCATATGCGGTCCATAATGTGTAATATGTTGAGAATCACTGAGTTATACAAACCTCATATTGGGCCTGAAAGAGATAAAGGACAATACTGAGCCCACATAGCCCCACCCTTCCAAATACAGGCGCCAGCTTCCAATTTTCCCCCAGGAGTGCTCAACCACCACTCAGCCCCAGGCCCTGTCCTCACTCCACCCCTTCCCCCAACCCTGCCTCTTCCTGCCCCAGGCCTGGCCCCTACTCCACCCCTTCCCCCAAGGGTACGCCCCTTCCCACCCAGTCCCACTCCCTCCCCCAAGCACGCTTGTACCCACTCCTCCACCTCCCTCCCTTACCTCCCTCCCAGCACCTCCTGCGCATCATGGAACACCTGATCTGCGGAGGGCAGGAGGCGCTGGGAGGGAGGGAGAGGAGTTGATCAGCGGGGCCACCCGCGGGTGGGGAGCTTGGCTGCCGGTGGGTGCTAATTTTTTTCTGTTGGTGCTCCAGCCCTGGAACACCCACAGAGTCGGAGCCTATGTCTCCAGCCCTGCAGAGCATGCTCCAACTGGAAAAGAAGTTTAAACGAAAGCTCCCCAGTTCAGTCAAGGAGAGGAAAACAGACCTACGCTACGGGATCCTGGACAAGGGTGCTGAAGAAGTCTCCCTGTGAGACCACTTAGGGACCAATAAGGGGAGGACCAATAAGGGGAGAAGATACTTTCAAATCTGTGGAGGAAGGTTTTTTGTCTGTCTCCCCCAGAGTCAACAAGGAACCAGGGCAGGGAAAATACATCTCCCTAAGTCATATCTAAGCTGAGCATCTAATATTGCAGAAATAGTAAGTAATAGCAAAGAAATGCGTTAGGTTATCTTTTGTTTTAGCTTGTGAATTTTCCCTGTGGTAAGAGGGAGGTTTATCCCTGTTTTTGTAACTTTAAAGTTTTGCCTAGGGGGAAATCCTCTATGTTTTTGAATCTTTTGTTATTCTGTAAAGTACTTACCATCCTGATTTTACAGAGGTGATTCTTTTACCTTTTCTTTAATTAAAATTCTTCTTTTAAGAACCCAATTGATTTTTCATTGTTCTTAAGATTCAAGGGTTTGGGTCTGTGTTCACCTGTACCAATTGGTGAGGATAATATTCTCAAGTCTTCCCCAGGAAAGGGGGTGCAGGGCTTGGGGGAATATTTTGGGGGAATAGTACTCCAAGTGGTCCTTTCCCTGTGAAATAAAATTATTCTACTTAACTGCCAGGGGGCAAAATTTGTCACATACACATGGGAGAAAGTAGAAGGGAAACATGCAACGTCAGCTATGAATAGTCTTAACTCAGGAAGTTCCTTCGAGAGGAAATGTAGCCAAATTCCAACCCTGCAGACAATGGAACTTTCTGTGCCTGCGTCCTGTAGATAACTACCTGCTTGGTTTGCAAAATAACGCAAGGCGGAGGGGGCAAGTAGATGAACAATAAGGAGTCATAAGAGGGGCAGATACATGTAGCTTGCTAATTATGTATGGTAATGATAGCAAATTTTGGCCAATCGTAGAGCGATAGATTATCATAGTCAACTGCATATAATACTTTGGTGTAAGTGTTTTCAGGGTTCTTGCTGACTTATGAGCTCGAACCCAATTGCAATTGAAATAAACAGATCGCCCCTCCCGGGGCTCCTTGCTTGACTAGCTGTGTCCATCTCTCCTTATTCCTCAGCTGGAACGGACAGAAATTTCTACAACACCTGATTCTTTGTCTAAATCACTTGGTGGTGGCAGCATACTGTTCAAGGCAAGGTGGAATTTGTGCCTTGGGAAAGTTTTTAACCTAAGCTGGCAAAAATAAGCTTAGGGGGTCTTTCATGTGGATCCCCACATCTGTACCCCAGAGTTCAGAGTGGGGAAGGAACCTTAACAACCCACTAGACCACCTGGCCTTCCGAAGGCTCTGTTACAGTCCTCTTCAGCCCTGGGCTGGAACATGGCTCCATGAGGACAGATTCTTCAGAGAATTTAGCTGCTAAAATAGAAAAAGTCTCTACCGAGCATGTGCAAATTACCATTTTTCAAAAGCTTTTAACTTGATCAAATTTGGGAGGATTTTTACCGGGGCAGCAAGAGGCATATCCTTGATACAAAGGTCACCCCCCACCAAATTTCAAGGCCTTGCTGTAAAGCATGGGGGCATTAGACCTTTTCAAATAAAAGGTTGCCAAAATAATAAATAATAATAATGTATTTTCCACTAGCCTCATCCTTGGAAACAACAAACATTTTGGCTGAAATTTTCCCAAAAAATTCAACATGAGGCAGACATACACCATGGGAAATTTCAGCCCAAACAGTTATATGTTGGCAAAATTACTAAAAACTGAAAACAAGATCTGAACTGTCAGACAACTTTAATAAAAGGTGGTGCTACTAGCACCATCTACAATACACATCCTTCTAAGCAAACATTTTACTACAGTTTAAAAAAATTCTTGCAGTATCAGGGCACCTTTCTAGTATGTTATAGTGTTTTTAAAAAGATTTACTTCTGTACTTTTATGACAGAAAATATTTAACATAAGAGAAACCTATTTTAGATCAACGTTGAACCCACTGAAGTATCCGGATGTTGATCAATAGTAGCCAATATCTGCTCAACCATTTCCTCCAGATGATAAAAGGAAGAGTATGAGAACTATCTCCGCATCATTTCCCAGATTCCTGAACCTTATAGTGATTTCCTTTATAAATTTGTTTTGTGCTGTTTTAATAATTGATACATTCCTTCAAAACAACTCAGTAACCCCAGAAACTCATTAAATGACAGTACCAAATCCTTAAGCTCCTGTTTCAAAGTTTTGTTTTTAACCACTTTATCTATTTTAGAAGACTGCATATAAAATAGTCCAACTCAATAGGGCCAAAAATGCAGAGAAAAATATTGGGAGGGGCAGCACAACAAAATTTATACTGGATCTGATCAAGAAAAAAAATACAGGTCTGTCGCATCTTAGGCGCATTTAACATGTGCGGTTTCAGCTTTATGCAGTCGGCAAAAACAAAAAAGAGAAAAATAAATTTAAATACTGTTTCTGTAGTGTGGGCGATTCCGCCCGCCATTACACTCAATGTAATTTTGACTATACGCGATTTTCGCTTTAGGCGCTGACTGTGGAACGTAACCCCAGCGTAAGATGAGACAGACCTGTACTCAATCATGTTGTTACAAGAGAGATATGTTGGATATTCAAAATGGAATCAAATTTTCCACACTTCAAAAGCAATTTTCAAACCTGAACAAATTTAATGAAGGACCTAAGGCTTGTTCTACTTAAAAATATGGTAACTAAGATTTTTTAGAAAAATCATGATTATGTTAAGCCTTAGTAGAAACTGTACGATTGCTAGGTAAGAAATGATTAATACTCTCTATATTTAACAAAAGGCTGCCTGTTCAAGGGTGAACATATTTGCCAACAAATTAGACTAGAAAAATATGCCAAAGTTTTCAAACTTAGGTGTATAAAGTTAGTCACCCCACTCCATAATCATACACTTGATTAAAAGTGGCCTGGTTTTGTCAGAGGTGTTGAGAATCTGCAGCCCCCATTTTCAGTGGCATTTGAAGCTTTATAGCACTTCAGGAACAGAAAGTTTCTTTTATTTAGGTCCTTACTAGGAAGCCAACTTTAGGCATCCAAATTTCAAAGTTTGACCTCAGTATCTTGCCCACTTATTTCTCTCAAACATGGAAATAATGCTATCCTAGAGTTCAAACCATACAAGTCATAACAACTGGATAAAGCCCTTCCATAAACCTTTTTTTGATAACATGGAGATAGCCTAGTACAGACCAAAGAATCACCCAGTTCACAAAGTATAGAGCAGTCCTTGGGTTCACTCAGCTCCCAAATTAGTGTCTTAACATAAAAGAAAGGATGTTCCAAGTCAACTGGAAGAGACGGCTTAATTCATCTAAAACTATCCAGCAGACTCCCCTTTAGATTCAGAAAAAGGAAAATGAAGCAATATCTTCCATCTGGTCAAATTTATGTTTTAGGTTTATTGGCATATTTTCTATTCTTTTAATTCTGCATAAAATATTTAGAAAAGTACCAAAAAGCAGATAGAAATCTAACCTTTCCTTGAACAACTTTTATCTATTCATCCCCTTCAAGAATTCATAAGGCTGCTCTGCAAGTTGCAGCAGTAGCATCACCTGCCAAGCTATTTAAATCCAATTATATTATTTCATATCAATTAACTCTTGAAACACACATTGAAGTGGAAGAGAATACGACTGGAGAATCTTGCCTATATGCTCGGGATTCTACTGATCGCCATATTTGGGGTCGGGAAGGAATTTTCCTCCAGGGTAGATTGGCAGAGGCCCTGGAGGTTTTTCGCCTTCCTCCGCAGCATAGGGCAGGGGTCGCAAGCTGGAGGATTCTCTGCGACTCGAAGTCTTTAAATCGCAATCTGGAGACTTCAACAGCTGAGTTAAGGGAAAGTGGGTGGGTCAGCTTATGTGGCCTGCATCATGCGGGAGATCAGACTAGATGACCATAATGGTCCCTTCTGACCTTAAAGTCTATGAGTCTATGGAGGCATTTTTCTAGGAATCCAGTTTTAAATTATTTCTATATGCTAACTTTCATTTATGTTTTTAAATAGATTGTCAGGAAAAAGTTAAAATTTACATTTTGGATAAACTTTTTTCTGTTATAAATTTATGATGTGAAATTCCCATTTCATATATATTTTACTTAGTTTGCATCTCTTACCTGTGCATAATTCCACTACAAGCCAGAGATGGTTGCTTGTTTCATACCATTCATGAAATGTTACTATGTTCTTGTGTCTAATGTCATGTGTAAGACGAACCTGTAACAGAATATTTGTATATTTTATTTGGAGAGCTGCATTCAGATATTAGCGTTTCAGGGGGGAAAATGCAATACAAAGTAATTCTAGATTCCTTTCTCCCTATATTGCTAGCTTTTCAAATGCCACCAAATTTTTAAGAGGTCACATTCCTACTCAAACCATACAATCAGAAATATAGAGGGAAGATACCTTTCGGCACAGGCCTCCCCCAGCTTCCCTGTGTTCAGAAGTACAGTCAATTTTCCTCAAACCAGTTCAACTGGTTAACAAAAAACAACAGTTTAAGAAAGAAGGCCAGGGTCAGCATAGCTATCTAGTGACAGAAGAAAACACTCCTATGTTGTAGATCAGAGTTCAGGGTCAAAGTTACGTCCCTAGTTTCTGTGCCAGTGAGAAATGGAAGTGTGAAAGAAGCGGGTACAGTGAGTCCTGGAGAAGGAAAGAGTTTTCTATCATTCTTGAGTAATCCCCTCTGGCCAACCAAATATCACTGAGAGGTGCCCAGGAGCTACATTTATGTTGAAAGATGGGTTAACTCCAATAAAATGCGTTTCACAGCTTTGAAGGAGAGGAGGGGAAATGGCAGAAATTTCTCCATTCCCCCCCTTAAAAAAAAAGAAGGAAGAAAGCCTAAATGTGCAACGTCTAGTGTAGTTTGTGGTAGAAGAATTGCTGGATATGCTCAATACAAAAAGTAACAAAATATTCTGAGCATCTTTAACCAAGGATATAGCTTCCTAGTCACTCAGTAAGTGCTGATTATTGCAACAATAAGAGAAAGTACTTAAGAAAAATGTACATATGGGAGAGGAGGAGGCTGGTATTTCAATTGACTTGTATTTTCCCAGTGAATACTGCAGTAACAAAGTAAAACCAATCACTACATTTATGACAGCTTCTATGACCAGCACGAAGTTAACCTCTTATGAGCAGATGTGTTTACATCTGTGCTAAAAAAGGACTGAAATTAAGGAAGGGGCTTTAGGAGGAATCCATGACTTCACATCTACAAAGAAAACCCATTTAAGATAAGGGAATTTGTAAGCTAAAAGCTTAAAACATTGCTATAAATTGGACACACATAGAAGGTAGGTCAGGTAATGTCTTTTATTGGACCAACTTCTACTGGTGGAATGTACATGCTTTTGAGCTCCACTAGGGTGACCAGACAGCAAGTGTGAAAAAATCGTGAAGGGGGTAATAGATGCCTACATAAGACAAAGCCCCAAATATCAGGATTGTCCCTATAAAATCAGGACATCTGGTCACCCTAAGCGCCACAGACCTGAAGAAGAGCTCTGTCTAGCTTGAAAGCTTCTACCTTCCACAAACAGACATTGGTCCAATAATGGATATTATCTCACTTGCTTTGACCAACAAGGCTACAATAACAGTGCAAACAACTATAAATTGTGATAAATTAATTGTATGTGAAGTAGTACCTGGTATTCTTTGTGTCTGTATTTGTGCTACTGGAAAATTTGTATCTACATTTCCCTACAGAAATAGTAATAAACATTATTCTTACCCAGTTGGTTATTTCAGCTCTTTTGCATTTATCAGTGCAAAGAATAGCAACAAAATTAATAGTGCCTTTTCTTCTTCCTTTATAAACAACTGTCTTGCTTCCTCTTCCAATCTCTTCATATAAAATAAAGTTCTCCATGTTTAAGATGCTTTACATCCAACAAATTAAGAAATGGCTTGTTTTCATCACTAACAAACACCACCTTGAAAGAAAGAAATTCAAAAATTTCTTAAATGTAAATATGTAATCATTATTTTCTTAATTCTTAAGATATGGCGTTTAATATAAAAAGGTATCATTCATGTGATTAGCAATTATGACTGACCTTACAGAAAGATTATAAACAAGACCTCCCACAACAAAGTCTAATCAACATTTTACACATAGGATAATATAAGAGTCACAATATTAAACTCCAAACTGCAAATTCAAAACAAAAAAAGCCCTGTCGTATAAGTACTCTATGGCCATGACATTACTAGGGAATTTTTGTACTACTACTACCAGTTCATCTACCTTGGCACTAGCCCTAATGGAGACAGGGACCCCAGCAGCTTCCAATGTTTTTACCACATCAGTTAAACCTGCTAAGAACCAGTGGTAGCACTTATGAGTGGGAATTTCTTGCAATTCCCTAGTGTAGACAAAGATAATGGGAAGTTACATTTACTAACTGAACTGGTTTTGTGTTTTGAGACTCAAGGCAATTCCACATAAACTAACTTCTATTTTTCTCCATCAGTTCTATCATTTTCTGACTTAGAAATCTAGATAATACAGTATTATCACTTTCAAAGAAAAATTTACCATTTATTAATAATCCTAAATGTAGTCTCATTTGTACATCAGAAAGAATGTAAGTGGTTCACCATGTTTAGTAAGAAGCAAAGCAGACTTTTTTAATGTGTATTTATTTTCTGTATCTAAGCACCTATAAGTAATAGGAGCCATTCTTTCTTGGTCTGTGTGAGCCTTTACTTTGAATTTCAAACAGAACTGGTAGTGAAATATAACAACTATAACGAAAATACTGATTTGTAATTCTGCTTCTCTGAAAACAGCTTTCTAAGAAGATTCTCATTCCCTGGCCTTAGATTTCCACTATCTGAGACAATGAAAGTATCAGCTCTACAATGGGGATTTATTTTGTTTCTTAAAAGAGTAAAATACTGCTTTAAAAAAATCCCAAGAGACTATCCTCTGTAGGAAATGTAAACCATAAATGGGGGGGCGGGGGAGAGAGAACACCCACACTTAGGCCAACTTCAAGTAAGGGACATCTCAAAATAAAATAAAAACTTTTGTGATGGGAGATTTTGGCCTCCTCTACTTGGGAAACAAACTCTGGAGAATCGATTCCAAAATGGGATTCCCTCCTGGACGCAGAATGTAAGCAGCAATATTCTGTGCATGCATAGAGAGAAGAAATGTACAGAGCGAGCTGCTTTGCAGTTGTCAGAAGGGGGATTGCTTTAGGACAGGCAGTGGTGACAGCCTTGTCTCTCATCAACTGAACTTTGATGTCTTCCTATTTCAGGCCAGCTATGTAATGATAAAAAATATGCACTCAGACACGATTTAGACGGTCCTCCTGGTAATTACTATAAAAGAAAGTTAGGTGGATTTTTCAAGTGCTTTAGTCTACCCAAAAGACCACTTGACTTCAAGGTCCTGGGAAAGTAGCTGCAAGCGTGAGAACAGTGGAAGGATGATAGGCTTATTAAAGTTATTACCCTTAGGACAAATCTTGGATGAGTAAAACTTTAAATAATGTGGCGGAGTCATTAGGGCCTAAAATACACTCACTCTACAAGCTGAAATTCCTGCCACCAGGAAAAAAAAGAATCCATGTAAGAATCTTAAGCTCACAGGAATTTAGTATTTCAAAAGGAGCTTTCATCAGATCACATTAATATCCTACAATATAGGGGGTGAGATATTTGCAAGAATCAGACTTCGCATGAAAGTGCAATCAAACAGACCTACAGGTATGTATCAGAGGCACCGGCTCTCACCTCATATTACTTACATCAAAGGAGGCTACACAGTTTTCCCATTCCAGATCTGCAGCCTCATGCATAAGATTCTTAAGCTCCTAGAGTTTCTGTTGGGGAACACAACTGACCAGGATGTAGGACTTTTCCCCCAAAGGTCTAACTGACCCTTGCCATGAAGTCACAGTGGTTCACAGCTTTAAAGGTTGTAGCCACAAAGTAACAAAGAAGAATCCCAGTTCTGCAGCTCATGATTTTGCCCCCATTCCCATCCCAGTACTATAAATGTGGTGGGTCTTCTCTCTAGCAAGAAGCTCTCATGAGCAGGGTGTGAGACATAGCCAGCAGCATCTTCAGGGAAAATATTTTTTCCTCAACCATCTGAGAGAATGAAGCAGTTGTGTGGTATCTGCCACATCTTAACCAGATGGTCCAAAATAAGGTGCAAGGATACAGCAATACTATTGGTGAGAGGTTCCTGGCACAGGTAACTCTCTTAAGGCCTTTGTAGATTATTGGGCCAGCTGAAGATCAGTTTTTCTTCAACAGCTTCTGCAGAAAAACTGGCCAAAATTAGAATCCTCGCCTGTGGAATCAATACTAGTATTCCTCAGTAATAGAGGTGTATTTGGCAAGAGATACATGTTCTGGCTCATCTGAATCCAAAGAGCAGCAATAGCTGCATCATAGCCTCTAACACAGATGGGGAGGGGCATTGTCAGGGCCAGAAATTCTTGCTTCAACAGTGCCAACTCTGGGGCACATGCATTGGCCTTGACACAAGAGGCCACATCAAGCAGACAAACAAACTGCCCATATAGAATTAAAGGAATGTCTGAAGAATGGCACTGTAGGATTTGTGGTACCCTTTCAGCTTGGCATCAAAATTATCTCTGTTAAAGCAGCAAAGAAAACCGGAAGAAAAGCATGCAGAAACGCCCAAAATAACAGATTTAGAACCATAACAGATCTGATTGGAAGATAGGATTAGGACACTAAGATACCTAATGAAATCAGCTTGCATCCAGAAGAGCTGGATTCGCAGCCATCCTGACTCTGCTCCTGTGGGGAGCTTCTTCTCTCGCAACAGTTAAACATGATCTAAGTGGAACATCTGGAGGGCAGGAGTCATACCCCACATGGGCAGCACATGCTGGTCAGAAAAAGTCTGGCTCATAGAAAAATGTTGAAAATCCCTGGTGTAGACTTTCTGAGGCCCCCTCAACATGCTATAAAAACTCCACAGCCCACCTGTGCCACAACAACTGTTTTTCTGCATATAAAAGCAGGGGCCAATGTTAGGGGGTAGCAAACAGGGCAGTTGCCTGAGGCCCCACACTACAGAGAGCCCCCACAAAGCTACATTGCTCAGGCTTCAGCTTCAACCCCAAGTGACAAGGTTCAGGGCCCTGGGCTTCAGACCCATGCAGTGGGACATCAGCTTTCTCTCCTGGGCCCCAGTGAGTCTAATGCTGGCCCTATTTGGCAGACCCCCTGAAGCCTGCTCGCAGCCCCCCAGGGGATCCAACCCCCTAGCTGAGAACCACTGGTCTACAAAGTGGTTTACCAGGTAGGGGAGTTTCCCCAGTCTCATGCTGGTGAGCTGAGATCCAGGAGCCAGGTTTCCATAGGGACTGTTAGGGAAAACTGAAACTAGTTTTTTTTTTTTTTTTTTTTTTTAAAGTCTCCAATATATGCAACTAATAAAGCTGTTCCAATTCTTCACCAGATTCATTGGCTTGCGTATTGCATCCCCACCTTTCCCCTGTTCGCGCGTTCACATGTAAATGGTTGGTGGCGAGGATAATCAGCCAGGACCCTAACACTGACCAGGGTCTTTGGGTGCCACCATATCCTACGTATTCAATAGTAACTGATCCCAGACTATTATTTAAACCGCTCATCAATCCCACCATTTAATTTATTTGCTCCGAGCCCTCACCCTGTTAAGCCTGACTCGACCATTCACGGATGGGCGGCCAAGCCAAGAGCTCCCCACAGGCTGCTGGAGGGCCCCGGGGCTGGCAGTGGCAGCCCTACCACTCAGGGCATTTCACCCCCTCTTGAGCCCATGCAGCCGCGCTGCCAGGAACAAGTGCCGTAACAAGGGCGAGGCAAATGAGGCACTTGCCTCGGGCGTGCAAAGCTGAGGGGCACAGAAAAAGACAAATTAAGTTTTTTAATTCTTATTATTTTATGAAAAATTATAATCACATAATATGCACATTGTGTCATGACAAATGTACAATGTAAATGGAAAATAAATAGAATACACCCTACAGTAATTATAAAGCATTGGTTCTCAAACTGGGGGTTGCAACCCCTCAGGGGGTCATGACCCCGTTATGTGGGGGGTAGCGAGCCCCAACCCATGTGGAGCTGCAGGGCTACGAGCCCCAACCCAGGCACGCGGCTGTGAGCCCCAACCCCGGGCTGTGAACCCTGACCCCAACCCCTGCGCCAGGCTGCAAGCCCCGACCCCAGTTCATGATGCACTATGCTGCACACCTTAGTTGTAATTAGTTGATTTTGTACATGGATCTTATGATTAAAATAAATAAACGTTCTATTATTTACGTATTTTTCTTTTTCTTTTTTTTTTTTTTTTAGAAAGGAGCGACTATGAAATTATATGGAGGGGGGAGGGCGCAAAAATAGCTAGTTACGGCTCTGCCAGGAACTATCCTGCTCGAGTCCCCTATGCCGGGCTCGCCGCCCACCGCGGAGACCCTCGGGCGGGGAGGGGGGAGTCAGACCGACCCCTGCTGCCTCCAGCGGTGCGCGCCCCCTTCTCTGCAGGGACCCGCGCCCAGCGGCCCGCGGCCCGGCTCCGAAGCGCGCCGGGAGAGGGCAGAAGCGGGACAGCACGTGCCGGGGGGTACCTGACGCCAGGGAAGGGGAACCCACCCGAGGCCGCCGCCGCGGGGAAGTAACGAGACGCTGCTGCGCTGCCGCCATCAACCGAAATCCTCGAGTCCCGCCCCCACCCAGGGGCCGCTCCACTGCGGCTGGCCGGGGGAGCCGGCCCGGAGGCGCGTGCCCGGGGCTCCGGAACGACAGACGCTACCCCCAGGAAACGCACCGCGGCCAGGACCGGCCCCGGCCCAGGGGAGAGGACGGGTCCGGCAGCGGGAGACCCGGAGCCGCTTGCAGAGTACCCGGCGGCACCCCTCCACCTCCTGTGGTCTGAGCCA